TAGGTTACCACCACCCCGCCTATTTCTGCCGTGAAGCAGTAACGCGTTTCGGTTTGAAGGGTGGGGCAGCCGTTGTAACTAACTATACTGAGACTTTAACGTATATCTCAAGGTGGGTGACGCATTTACGTTGTAGATGTCTATGGGCTCCAGTAACCACATAAAACCAGGTGGGCTGTGAGCTCGTCCAACCATCTAAGCAATAAAAATATAAAAAAATGCATACAAGTTCCGACCGATAATATTCGGACCGTCGGTCTATCGAGAAATTTCACCAGCTCGCTGGTAGAACTTCCAGTTTTTTTTAAACCTCAAAAATACAAATCTATAAATGACACTGATTTTCATAGCAAGAAATGAATTTCTATTACACGTCTTTAATCACGTATGTACCTTCTGATTGAGACATGAACTATATTCGTTCTACATAATGTGAAGTTTAAATAGGGTATTTTTTGACAGCACCTTGACGGACAATGCCAACGTCAACAACAATGTCAACGTTCGTAAGCGAGGACAGTAATCAACCATGCTTAAAGTCCATGGTCGATTGCGTTGCGATAGATATAAGTACTTTAAATTTTAATTTGTATATATTTTGTTTTATTGGTTAAATGAGACACGGCTCCCCCGGTGTTGAGTGGTTACCGCAGTCCATAGACATCATAGGGACCTCTAGACGCGGACTTTGTATACGGTTCGGCCCCATGCCCGAAAAAAAAAACCTATACACATCACAAGCTGAAGGCCGCCATGTATGGGTATGTCTTGAGATGATCCAAGTGAATGTTCCCATTGTTTGTGTGTTTCTAAGTCCAATTTGGATACAACTAAATGTACGATAATTGCATTCCATGTGGAGGTATCCACGCCGAGATTGTCAAGAGAATTCAAACATTTCGTAGTAGGTATCTAAAATTTCCTTGAAACTTTTAAAACATTCTGTGTTCATCTTCTTTTGATTTAAAAGCGGCTAATTATTGTAGTGACAATCATACGTTTGTTATTGTACCTACTCTCAAGCTTGAGATTTTATTTCAGCTGTATGTACGCAGTAATTACGCACATTAAACTTTATGGGGTTTTGTTTTTTATTGCAAAATGGAATTCATTCGTGAGCACGAATTAAGTACGTATTTCATTTGAACCATTGATATCCGCCTACGGGATTCGAACACCGACATAGTCGCATCACTACGATACGAATGAACCGAGCGTCTTATCTTTTAGGCCACGACGACTTGATGTAAATGTACAATCAGATCATTATTTTTTATCTATATATTAATACGTGAAGCAAAAACTTTGTATCCCTTTTTACGAAAATTGCGCGGACGGAGGAGTATGAAATTTTCCACACTTATATAGAATATAGAGAAGAAGTGCAAAATGCTAATATATTTTTAAAATAATGCATATAAGATACATTAAATCAATAAAGAAAACATTACACACACTACCATGTATTTGACACACACACGCATGCATAATAATATTTGTATATTGTCAAACTTTCGTTATTCCTTAGTCTGTGGTCAAATTGACAATAGATTTATATTGTTTGTCTTTATTAATATTTGTCTAAAGTGTAGTCTTGGTGAAATCTCGAAGTATAATATTTAGTCTTTGACAATAGAATCATAATAGTGCACAAGCTTATAATTTCAATTAATTATAGTCGAATTTCGACTACTGCGGGACCACTAGTTTATAGAAAATTATACGCATCGACTTGTGCCGGGAAAGGTTTATACGATCTGGCGTCTCAAGTGCTCAAACTAAAGTGGTATTGACATTGTGCAGCCTATTTGGCTAGTCTAGACGAGGACACAGAAGAATAAAAGTTACAGATGTATAGACAACTGGATCTGGTCCTACCTACACGTTCCAACAGCGCAGATTCCGTCACCGGAATCCGGATCTTCTAAATGGGTCGCGATCCCACATCGGTGGTGATACAACAAAGCAATGCTCGTGCTAAGGCTAGTGTTGACAACTCTCTCAGGTTGAGTCCCGTGAGCTCACCTACCAGTTACAGCATAACTAGTCTAGCTTCTTAGGCTACCAACAAATAGATAGGGAAAAATACTTAACAAATTATCTAAGGTTTATAGACGCCTAAGCCTCGCGAACCCGCCTACCAAACCGGTAAAACTGGAAGTGATGAATTAGGGAGAAAACATTCGGAAGTGGCGCGCTCTTTCAAGAGGCGTACCATCCAGCAGCGCTGTATCTTATCTTTCATCATACGAGGTTTAAAAGGAGTCATCAGCGGCAGACTGTGACTTAACTGTGCCTCTTTTTTTTACAATGGGAAATCCTATTATGGATACCCGGCCCATACGGAATCGGATCGGATTATGTCGGGCTCCTATACCTCCGAAGAGACTGCGCTTTGAGAACGGCGTGCAGGACAGGGTGAACCCCACGATTGCTCCACTTGACTTTGCAGTTGGGTCGTTTTCAATTTTGCGGCCAAAAAAGTAACGATTTCGTTTCGAAAAAATGGAAAATTAGAGAAAATTTAAGTTTTCTAATTTTAATTTTTTTAAGCTATTGCATAGCTTCTATCGCGGGCCTTGAGCGCGGCGACCGAAATCATGAAATTCCGTAACGAAAAAAACCTTACACCCCTCACTCCGCCTACCATGTAGCTCGAGTTCAACACATTCACACGTTGCGCTTGTGTAGTGTTTGTGAATAAGCGCGTGGCGTGACGTCACACTGCATGCGCGTCATAAAAAGTCTGCCCATCTCTCTCTCGCGCGGTCATGTTTAATATAGCGTGGTCTTGTTTTATTATTGTTTTAATGTTAAATTGTCATTGTCTAATTATAATTGCATAAGTTGATAAAAAATGCTATGCAATAGCTTTACCGCGGCAGTTCCCGAGTGCCACACGTTTTTTTGTATTTAGGCATGTTCAAAATAAAAAATGCTTTATCACAATCAAGTCAATCACTCATTTATTGATAATATAATATTCATTAATATTTTTCATTTTACGCATTTGATAAGGCCAACACGGATGACAATAATTTTACATAGGAACTTTTTTAAAAGCTTAGAAATCGTACTTCTTTTGTTTTTAATAATATTCTAATATCCAGTTAGTTTTCCTTTATTATTGTATTATATATCATACTGATTAAATAAAATTGCCGCATTTCAACACGCATTACTGGAAAAATAACAAACAAGTTAGAATTTGAATTTCAAACCAGTGATGCGAATGAGATTTGGAGTAGTTTTTAATGTATAACTCCTAATTTAGCAGTGTTTACGAATATATAATTATAGAACCACGTGCCTGTTGTCATGACAACAAATTTGCTGTACTTATAATTACAATAACATTAAGGTTATGAGAATTAAATCAAATAACTCGCTTTTGGCCCCAAATTTGAAAATGACCCAGTTGGTGTCTGTAAGCACTGGTAAGTGCTAACGATCAGGTGGGGTGCATGCCAGTTTTTATCATACTGTACACACTATCACCATATTTAGATGTGAACAATGAAATCAGGAGAGTGTATATGAGGCTGTTTCCTGTGATAGTGACGTCCAGAAATAAATGCCTTATCACTCTGACGAGCCAGACAGCTTCAAAATTTAATGATCAAAGTGAGTCATTAGCCATAGGTTATTCCAAATTTATAGATTGTGTGAATTTTAAATGTGATGGCTTAAAAGACCAACCACCACGTGGACTCGTATCTTAAGACTAGGGGTAATTTTTACTCAAGGCAAACACTATGCTGGAGTTTGTACTCTTACTGAGGATAAGTGTGTCTAACAATATTCCACGAATAGCATCCATAATAAGGCATGATCTGAGGAAAAATAATCAAAGAACTAATAGCAGTAGGCACATAATCAACAGACACGCAGCCAGAAGAGAGGAGTGGTACTCCAGTTACAAAAGTCATCATTGAAAACATGATTATCACGAACACTCTGCCAATGATGAAGTGACGATAAAAAAGTAGAAAACAGTATGACTGCATCCCCGCTGATGTCTATAAAGTGACTGTGATTACTTACTTATAGGTGGATTGCTGGCACCAAACTCATTATAGTCAATTAATAATTTCTCATATATACTACATTACTCAAACTTGTATAGATATATGGACACCATTATTAGGACAGCACATGGTGGTAGATTCTGTGAAGCACTGCTCTTACTAGGGCTAGTGATACCTACACGTTAGGGTAAAGCTGAAATAGCCTCTCAAGGCTATCAGCATAGTTAGAAAAAAAAAAAGAAGGTCAGCACCAACAACTCTAAAAAGATGGTCAATATAGCCAATTCACTTTAGTTTATTATCAACACAGAGATCCATGAAGCACTGAACTTCAAGACATTAAAGAAGGAAATAAAAAACTAAGCCACAGTATAAAGGTGTAATTTATTGTCCAACTTTTTGGACCACTCAGTCAAAATAATAAAGATCATATAAATCCTTGCTTTAATTGTAAAGCAATAGATTAAAATGATTTTATTAGCTTGAACTGTACATGTATGTCTATGAAATCAGAATCTTTCAACATATTTATCATTGACTTCAACATATCTAACAAGGTTGAAACTTTGGCATAATATATCAGGATTCCCAGGATAAAATTATTTTTTTTTTTTTGACCTGTTTTTAACTAGGGTTTTTTGTTTTATTTTACACTATATTTATTTATATCATAGTTTATGTGGTGACATATGGAAATGTATCATACTCATGGTCAAAATAATATTTTGTTGTCCCCTAGTGCGAGGTTTAAAACAATCAGGTGCAACTTCATCATTGAATATTTGAAATAGACTCAGTATTAAAGTGAGTATTAAAAATATCATCTTTATTTCTTGGTAATTTTTTTATAGTTAATTTAATAATTTTGTTTTCGATAATTCTTATTTGTATGATAAAAAAGCGGTTATTGAAGTTACCTAACGTATAAGTTTTAAGTTTAAAAACATGAAGATATAAGTAAACTAAACTTACCGATTATGAGGTCCAGAATCCGGTTTAGTTTAATTAATGTTACGTAAATTTAATTCGGCAATAAACGTACACTAAAATAATTTTGTAACATAAAATATCGTCTTGTTTTATTTTTCTAAACAAATTATTAAGAGTCGCGGTAGCAAAACTAGCGCAAATATATTGATTTAAATCAAACACTACACGTATTTTTTTTATTAAACATTACTTTTTACAATGAAGCGAGTTCCTTAGAACGTGTTGTTGTGAAATGGCGCGTCTGTTTAGGTCAAGCATTCAGTCACATGATGCTAATTCAGCGAATAAAATATGTTTTTAAAAGGAACAAATGATGACACCAACTGTACAATTCGCTAAATGCGCTACCTTAGGTAGGTAGTAGAAAAGGTAGAATTGTGACAGATCTTTTCAATGTTACTATTGCTTGAAAGCTGAAATGCTTCCAAATATTTTTTTGTATGATTTTCAATTTTTTTTGTCTGCTATAATTAAAAGATACTACAATCAGATCTTCCCTGACAACTGATTTCTAAGCACCTTCGAAGAAGACGGTAAAACTTGAATTAAGGACACCAGACACGAATTCTAAAAGACAGTGGACAACAGACTTACCGACTTATTTATGAGCTTCAAGTGTAGAAAATCTTACATTAAAAAGTAGGTGTTGGATCACGAACCGCAACGAACTAATGAATTCATTGGCAAAGTATCAAATATTTTACAAAATAATAACAGGTTTGTTTGTGCTCTGAGCGTTCATGTGACTTTTATCTGACTGGTTGTGTAAATTAGAATATTTCATGTATTAACAATGATTTAAATATTATTATAACGATAGTCTTAACAAAGAATCACCTTAATAATAAGAAGTACCTATCTTTTGTACTACCATTCACTACCTTGCACTACTATTTCCATACATCTTCTAGTTACACGTATCTCCTCTCTACGTATCACATGACCATAACACGCTAATTGTCCGCTAAATTATTAATAAGCGTCTAATATTTTTATTTGTGGTTCTACTTTTTTTTTTTGCAATTGGGTTTTTTGCTTCAAATCATAATTTAATATAATTATTTCATATGATTATCTCCTTCTTCTTCTTCTGAGTCGGTCTCTTCATTGTTGAAGGTCGTGTTTAGCTTGAACTCTTGATCACTCGATACAATATGCTTCTCCATGTCATCCTGTCCTCGGCAGTCTTTATAGCTTCGCTTATTGGCAGGGCGGTGAGTGTCTTTACCAGATCTGACCAGCGGGTAAGTCAGCATTCGCGCGATCTTCTCCCGTCAACCTGACTAAGTACCATAAACGTCTCTAGGTTATCGAGGTCTCTATGACGTAACATCCACCTCCAACACCACATTTCAAAAGAGTCGATCTTTACCCTCTCACTTCATCTTATCGTCCTGGCTTCGGTGCCATAAACGACAAATGTATGTATGTATGTATGTACAAATGTATGTAAAAAACAAATGTACGTACCAACCTCACTTTGGTTTTTCGAGAGAGAGAGAGATATATATATATATATATTTATTGCTTAGATGAGTGGACGAGCTCACAGCCCACCTGGTGTTAAGTGGTTTCTGGAGCCCATAGACATCTACAACGTAAATGCGCCACCCACCTTGAGATATAAGTTCTAAGGTCTCAATATAGTTACAACGGCTGCCCCACCCTTCAAACCAAAACGCATTACTGCTTCACGGCAGAAATAGGCAGGGTGGTGGTACCTATCCGCGTGGAATCACAAGAGGTCCTACCACTAGTAATTACGCCAATTATAATTTTGCGGGTTTGATTTTTATTACACGATGCTATTCCTTCACCGTGGAAGTCAATCGTGAACATTTGTTGAGTACGTATTTCATTAGAAAAATTGGTCCCCGCCTGAGATTCGAACACCGGTGGATAGCTCAACACGAATGCACCGGACGTCTTATCGCTTAGGCCACGATGATTGTCAACATTTAGATTCTTCTGACTATATCTTTCTCACTGCCATCCTCAACACCAAGAAGAGAGCCAAGACAAAAGAACTGGTCAGCAAATTCCAAGTCGTGAAGTTCAATAAAGCGAATAAGCATACCAGGTCCGTCTATCATCAATACCTTAGTCTTCGCCTTATGGTAAGACCAACTAATTCACTCTCCTTTTCCCCCCTAGTAAAGACTTGCGCTAGTTCTTGCCCGGATGATGCGAATAGTGTGTGGCATCTACGCAACGGAGGTTGCTGATTTTCCTGCCGCCAATGGATATTCCACCCTTCTAGCCATCTAAGGGTCGTCTCATAATATATTTTCCGCAAATTTTGAATAGAATCGGTGACAATATATAACCCTGCCTAACACCTTTTTGAGGTTTAAAGGGCTTTGACAGGTTGTTGTAAACTTTCTCTAGTACCTATGCTTCCGTTCTGGTACTGGTTTGTGATGAGAACGACGAGGTGCTGTACCCCATCGATCCTAATGAAAATGGGAGTACCACAGCACCTCATACGACTATACAAAAACAGACACCAAATGTAATTTTTTTTGGGTGGAACCCAAAAGGTCTAAGTCACAAAATAAAGCATGTAGGTAGTGAAAAATATTTTTACTTCAAGGCTCATAATTAAAGTGTATTTTACACTGAAGTATGAAACCTAGTATTTTATATGTTCAAGACTTCGATCATCAATAGTTACTATTGTTGATCGAAGGTTCAAGACATTGGCAGCACTGTTATCTGATTTTGCAGTAGACGCGAATCAAATGGCAAATGTTGTGCAAAAGGAGAGTTGCATGATATTAATTAAATATATTAATGCATAAACGGTTTCTCGGATAAAACCCAAATGCACATAATTTACTTTTGTACATAAAATTAACGTTTACCTAGAAATAATTTCTATAATCGCTGTAATATAAATAATAACTTCGTAAATACGTTTTGTTTGTTACAAATTTAATTGCATTTGATACTATTTCATTATTTTTAACTGTTAAAAATGGTATATTATGTCGTGAATTATATTTAAAGGAAACGAAATAGTAACTGTAAGTTTAAAAACCAAATAAATCAACTCTAAGATAAACTAACCTACGCACTTAAAAACGTTTATTGGGTGCTATGTAGTAAACTAACTGTTGCTTAGATACACCATTCTGATCCTCGAAGATAAATAAATAAGGTCATAATTAACGAGTTCTAAAACTAAATTGTGTTCCATATTTAAAAACCTTGAGCAGAGATACGGTTCAGAACTCTGCTTACTGAATATTTGAGACAATAACAACCTAACCCAGACCCAGAATATCTTATGTTTTCGATCAGGTTTGAAAATCACCCCCAGAGTACAGTAGTTGCAGTGATTAGTTATTAGATCCACTACTAAATTCACACAATACTAGATAATTAAAACCATATTATTTTTATTTCGTTGAAAGTGTTTTTTTTTGTTATTCTTTCATGCTAAAAGAAAGATTAAGATCACGTTTGACATGATTTTATTTAAATTGATTGTATTAAAAGAGTAACATAGCGCTCATTTTTATTCAAAAAAACATCTCATTCTCTGGGGAATCTGTGTCATTATCTTTAGAAAACTTGTCACATTTCCTTGGCCATACAGGCAAATCTGCTGGTAACAATTATATATTCTTTTTATCTACAATAAAACAAAATTTTTGAGACCAATTGTGTACTTTAATATAATATGATGTTTGTCATTACATTTGAAGACAATACACATGTATACTGCAAATTACCAACTGTCATTTCAGATGGTGGAGCCATCAATTTACAAGTTTACCACAGCTGAAGGGGGTGCTCGTCTTGCTGCAATTGCATCTGAACGTAACACCCTTGCTGTGGAATACTCAAATTTCATTGCAACCAGGCTGGTCTATGAAGAAGCTTATAAGATACGAGGGTGAGTGTATTATTTGTGTTGTGGAATTAATGTTGTCTTGGCTCTGTCAAATTCTGCTAAAAATATTTAAATAGGCGATTGTTGTTATAGTGTTTTTAATACAGAATATGTCAAGGTCAAAATGAAAACTAGACAGGGTACCCAGGCTCAGACTATGTGAGGAGGATTGGTATTCAGACTGGCTCTCTACTGTAAATATATTCTAGTTTCAGTATTGAGATCCTCATCTAATATCCAATGATGTCATTTTTGTTCCAGTGTTTGCTTCCCATTTATTTCTTTCACAAAGTAGTAATAATTCCTTCTTCCTTTCATTTTGATAGGCTTGTCGAATGAGCCATTAAATTAACCATCTGAGAAATCAATAAAAAATTAAACGCCCCATTTACAATATTCCCAGGTCGCTCTATGATAATAAGCAGAGATCAGTGCACGTGACAAGAGAGGATCGTATAAAATGCACCGCCTACGATCTGAGGATTATGACCGACTTGTCGTTGTGTGAGGCTGAGAAATACGATGATGTGTATGATTGGTACGCGGAACTTGATAAGAAAGAAGTAAGTACTGTCCAAATATTTTGAAGTAATAACTTCTTATTGGAGGGTAAACCGCATCATTGCGTAACATGTTGCGGTGCCTATCAGTCTTTCTTTTTCTGTCATGCATATGGCAGCGGTAGTGAGAACGTATAAAACTCTTAACTACCTATTTACATAACGTTTTCAATTTATGTTATAATTATTCTTACATAGGCATTCCTCAAATGAATGGAATTCACAGTACTCTGGTATATAATATACTGAATAATATAAGAATAATATGAGAATGCTGCTATGCCCATTTTCTGGCCAATTCTGGTCAATTTTCTATAGTCATGATGCTTAGGAAGAGTTAAAAAAGTGAAGTAACTTTAAAAACATAATATGCTTTTATATTATAATTCTATTTCAGGTTTTGGTCTGCACTTCAGTAGTTTTAAAACGAATTCTAGAAGAGGGAATAATATCAATGGAGAATATAAATGTTCTAATAATTGATAGCTGTCATTTAATAGTGACCGACGAGAATTTGAAATATGTAAGTGAAGTTTAAAATATATAAGTTTCATTGCGCTTAGTTGAAAGTCTGTCCTATTGTGTATTGATAATACAGAGTTCAGACATGAACATGAAGTCTTCATGGCCTAAAGGATAACACACCCTGTACATTGAGCAGTGCAAATGTGCCAGTGTTTGAATTCACGGGCAGGTACCGATTTGTCTAATGAAATACCTAATTAACAGACAGGAACCACCATACTGTTTATTTCTGCAATGAAACAGTAATATTTTTCTGTTGTACTGTAAAAACTGAAACTTTAACTCTTGCCTCAAGGTGGATGATTATGGGGTCCAGTGGCCATTAACACCAGATAGGCCATTACTTCGTCCATTCATCCAATAACAATAATAAAAACTAATAATTGTGGATTTATTTTACAGATTATGCAAGTTTACAAAGATAGTGAAGAATCAAAAAGACCCCGAATACTTTCGTTGACATATCCTCTCTTTGGATCGCACAAAAAATCTGAAGACATTCATAACGACAAACAGACAGATAACTCTGAAGATTCAAACGAAATAGACTCAAGTAATTTGAAAGATATGCTGGTAGAAGAAGAGAAACATGATAATGAAAGGTCAGAAAAAGATATCAGACACTCTCAAACTGATTCACAGAATGAAATTACATGTGACAGTGACATTGGATCTTTGAAAGATACAAAAACAGATGCAGAACAGGATATAGTTGCTGAAGATAAATCATTAGAGAACGAAAATATAGATGATTTCGATATGTATGAGAAGTTGGAGTGGAAAATTGAGCAACTGGAGAATGAGTTGTGCTGTAAAATGGATCTTGCTGAAGACATCGACACAGGGAAAAGGTAATGATTATCCTCTAAACCAGAGGTGGGCAAATATTTTGATAGTCTGGCCACATTGCAGTTGAAAATTTGACCTTGGGCCAAACAGTTTTTTTTTCTAATTTTAATTATAGTTGGGTAATCTAAAATATATTGTATTGCTTAATATTTTATCTAAAAAAAAGTATGCACAGGCCTGCTCTAAACTGTTTGTAATTTTATCTCATATAGTAATAGACATGGTGGTTGTGCTTACTCATAAATGTTCATAGTACAATCAATTAAATCTATGGGCTCCGGGAGCCCTTTTTCATCAGTTGAGTTGTGAGTTTGTTCAATGTAATGAAATAATGTTTGGATTTTCTGTATGTTATTTGTGTGTCTTATCATCATCATCATCATCATTATCATTCTCCTGCCCTTCTCCCAGTTACCTGGGGTCGGCGCAACTTGTTTTCTCCTTCCATACTCCTCTATCATATCCCCTGGTATACATATCGTCTTTCACGCAATCCATCCATTTCTTATTAGGTCTACCTCTTCCTCTATATCATTCTACATTCATAGTTAACACTCTCTTACCAACCTCATTGTCATTTCGTCTCATCGCATGTCTATACCATCCCAAACGCGCACTTCTCAACTTCTCTGTCACAGGTGCCACTTTCAGACTTCCTCTAACATATTCATTTCGTATTCTATTCATTCTCGTCTTTCACGCAATTCATCCATTTTTTTTATTAGGTCCACCTCTTCCTCTATATCTGTGTGTGTACTTAAATTAGTAATAGTCGTTGGATCCAAACCCTGGCTTATTCGGTTCAGTGTATTTGATATATATATTTTTTTAAGTATGACCTGGTAACTAAGACCTTTAAGTCATGCCTTATTATAATTTATATTCTTATTTTTATGAAAAAGAACTGTACCTGTCGGCTTCGATGGGCATTTAAAATTATCATTATTATTTAAATTTCTCACCCCCACAAAGATTCTCATCATTAACGCCCCCGCAACTGGTGTAGGGAGTCCAACACTCATAAATATTAGCCTATCCATTAAGTATATGTATTTTCTACATGGATACCAAGTTTAAAGTCAATCGGATACATGATTCAGTAGTTATAACGGAACATCCGTAAAAACCACTGTAGTTTTAAATATTAGTATACATGGAGTGAAATGAAATGAAATGAAGATGATTAATTTGAGAAATTAATCAACTGGGATGAAATGAGATGATATGGGATAAAATATAATCTTAGTAAAATTGTGGTCATTTACTGAGATTTTTTATCTAAACTTTTTGGAGGATTCTGAGAAAGCGGCTTTGTTTCATTTTCCCACATTTGTGCACTTTCACAGATATTAAACAGTTCATAAACCACCGTTATTACACATTTAAACCTGAAGAAACACTAAATAGACAAAATAAATCACACAACTTCACTCGCGTTCCCGCCAAAAACTCCGTATTTGATATAAGTACAGGGTAAGCACAGAATATCACAGAGTACCTGTTGATGTAGACTTTGTAGACGAAAAAGTCACGGTTCGTTCTTGATAAGTATTAAATTGTGCTTTTGTCGCATGCAATGCAATTCATCTTCTAACGAATTTCAGAACAGCGGCGGCATCCACCAAACCAAATGAACTGATAGTCGAATACTGTCCTCGGAGACCTGATAGCGAGCTCTCAGAGGATTACTTGGAGCTGGAGAGCTACATGAAGAGGACCGTTGAAGACGTCGCGGAGTTTGTTAATGATCACAGGTAGGCAGCATTGCGATAGAAAACGTCACGTAACGAAAAAACGTTGTATATGGCTTTTCGTATGTGTGCGTGTGTGCGTGCGTGTGTGCGTGCGTCTGCGTGCGCGTGCGTGCGTGTGCGTTCGTGTGATACTTGCTTTGCCTGATTCGATTTAAGTGGAAGCGTTATCTACAGCATATTGAAGTCTTGCACTGTAGTCAATTTGCAATGAATTCTATTTATTATATTTTAAGTGTACAGCGATAACAACAGAGAGCTCCGCCTCGTTCGGCTGCTCGTGCGAGAATGTATTGTGCGACAATAGTCACTCCTATTTATGAATGAAACGGAAAATGGGGTAGCTGAATTATGAATTCTCTTGAATATCGTCTTGAACAATTGTTTACATGCGTCAGACTTATAATAGTTAACCAACAATCTCAACATAAAGGAAACAGTTAACTTTAACTAAATAGTAATGTTGCGCCTATCAAAACGTTTCATTACAGACACGATCCCACCGAGATATACGGAGACGAGCTGTACGAGGAGTTCAAGAACATTCCGGACCCGACGACCGAACCCAAAATGATGTTCAAACAGTTCTTACATGTTCTAGAAGAACTGGGTGAGTCACTTCATCTTCTACCGTGCATTGAAAACTCGGCGTGGCGGTTACCTCACTAATATATATCTATCTATCTATTATTGTAACAATTATACTTGTACTAAACTACACATTAGTCGTGGTGTCATAATTTGATGCAATAACAATATTTTTGTTGGTACGTTTGTTCTCTATGCCTTCCGAAACCGTTCATCTGACTGCTTTGCTTCTATTGATTCTGCAAATTTATCTAACCTAAATTGTAATTTAAAAAAAAAACAGTAAAGGCTCCTCATTTGCGCTTCCATTATTCGCGTTTTTACTATTCGGGTAAAAACAAATGTGACAAAATTTCTATATTCGCGGCTCTAATCGGTACATCAATATAGATACATTGATAAAAAGGATTCCAATATGTACGTATTCAACCGAATATCCTTTCTATGAGTGTCGTCAATTGGACTAATAAAAAATAGACCTTATTACGACTATGCCTAAAGTATGTTGTTAAATGATATCATCTAGGAACGTATTCCCTACATGTAAATTACCATTTCATATTCACGGTTTCTTAACATCTCTCTTCGATTGGTCCCTCACTGCTGAGGATCGTGACTCCGTCCGTTTCCGTAAACCAGCTGTCTTAACATATGCCCCGCGAATAAAATCTTTTACTGTACATATATACCATAAGCGTGACTCAACCCTAAAAATTAATTAAATGCTTTTTTTTGCACGTCAGGTCCTTACGCAGCCGACAAAGCGGCCTTTTCGATATTAACGAAATTAGAGAAGTTAAAAATTAAAGTGCCGTACGAACGACATTTCCTCTTGTTGTGCCTCTGCACGACCGTGTTCGTCAGGATACGATGTTACGCGGACCTTGTGTTCGGGAAGCTGGAGTCGGACTGGGACCGAATCCGGGCCTTCTCGACGCCGAAAATACTGAGGTTGGCCGAAATATTAGAGAGGTTTCGGCCGCCCGATACACCTCACGACGAAGGTAAAAGGAACGGCCTCGCTCAGAACGAAGCCGCCGCCAACTCGAAGGATTCGTTCGCCGAAACATCGAGTTGCATAACGGAAAGCGAAAGCTCTAGCACCATCACTAGTAATTCGAGTTTACGTACCGATAGCGGACATATGATTCTCGAGTCTAGCAATACCGACAAAGAAAATGTTGCCAGTTTAAATAATGCAGTTAATGTAGTCGCGGAGCTGTGCGGCTCTACAGAGGATGTTAAGAACGGTGACAATGGCGGGTGTCCAAATAACACAAGCCCAAATGAAACCGATAATAAACAAGTGAAGACCGAGCCTGATGATGAAAAAATCAAATCGAAAACTCTCGAATTATTGAGTGCTATAGATAAATGTGATTTCGCGTATTTAGCCGATAGGATAGAAGATAAAGTCAACGCTTACGAAGCTAACCTGAAAGAGATAGACGTTTACATTGACAAGTGCGATAGAGATGGGGATAGCGAAGCGAATGAGACCGGGGCACAGGAAGAGAGAAAGTCATATTGTAATGAAAAGATCCCCCAGCCTAACCTAGATCCGCTCCAGGTCAAGCCGAGTCCTCTCAGACGTTCCGGGAATCGCGTCAGAGGCAGGACCAAACTCAGGAACAACGCCAATCGAACTCAAAACACGGGACAGAATCCTGACGCCCTGTGCGGCGTTTTATTCGTCAAGGAACCGCTTATGGCCAAAATTCTCTTCATGATTATCGCGGTGAGTACATAACGAAAATGAGAACCAGCTAGCTATAGTCTATTAAATGAAACTAGAATGACATTCGAAAAATTACACTAAATAGAGACAAACATAAATATATGTACATACGATCTTTGAGAAAATGAGATAGAATGTTCACTTTACCTTATCTTTTCACACTAGGTGACCTTACGTCGCTAGTATCAATTGAATTGGATTACGGTTGTTTCACCCTTCAAACCGGAACGCATTACCGCTTCGTGGTAGAAATGGGATAGTGGCACCTATCCGCGTGGGCACACAATACAGCCAATAAATAGCTACGTGCTGTTTGCGGGTTTCATTTTAAACGATTTTCTTTCTGATAATTACGTAATTACATTAGCAAATTGGTACTTGCCTGCAGAATATGACTCTGGCATAAACGGAAATAAAAACATGATACGGCTCGAAGGACCAACACCCGTATTATTCCAACAGTTTCATTAAACGCTTACTATTGCAGGACCTGTCCCGTTGTCATCCGAAGTTATCGTACGTGTGCGCCCAGTACTGTGCAGTAGAGAACCCTGAAGAGTCCCTAGAGCCCAGAGAGTGCCAGCGACAGAATAAGAAACACGAAGATGTTCTCAAGAAGTATTTAACACAATCTTATTTCTTATTACATAAAAGTGCTTTCGCAATGACCGACACGATAACGTTATGACAACATTAACCACCATCGCGTCGTTTAATTTACGATAAAAATATAAATGTCGTGTCGGTATCGGTTACGAGATGATCGTGCATTGTAAATAACGTAAGCGACGACTTTTGTTTTTCCAATGCTCACACACGGTCTATATGATGGCTATAAGTCAATGTCGCTCATGGACATCAACAATGCAAGGCACCCAGTCGATCCGCTTACCGCTTATTGCCATGATTGTGTGATCTATTTTACTGGTGGTAGGACGTCTTGTGTGTCCGCACGGGTAAGTACCGCCACCCCGCCTATTTCTGCCGTGAAGCGTAATGCGTTTCGGTTTGAAGGGTGGGGCAGTCGTTGTAACTATACTGAGACCTTAGAACTCATATCTCAAGGTGGGTAGCGGCATTTACGTTTTAGATGGCTATGGGTTCCTGTAACCACTTACTTATATTAACATCTAGGCAACAAAAATAATAAAACGGTGAGCGTGCAACTTGGCGCACGTGAATGAAGTGAAACTTCTTTGTCGATGTGCAGTATTGTGGTTTTCTTAATTTTTCATCCTAAAATTAGATTGCTCTTGTAATAGGGAATGCTGTGTATGCGACATCTTCAACATTTATATTATGTTCCCCTCCTGGCTGAGCCTTTGCTCGCCCCTGTCCTGGTGAAACTGGAAAGGCCTTCGGGCCACCAGTAATCTCACAATCATAAAAAAAGACATTATATATATTTTAAATTGTAGATAAAAAAAATAATATATACCTATATTTTTTGGTATTTCATTAAAATATTGTCCGCTACTCGTTGCTAACGCTCGCGCTGGCCTGTAACAGGTTTTACTACACGCATGCGTTCGAGTGCCGCGCATTCACTCTCGCTCTGTCTCTTTCTATTCCATGATAGCATTACACGTTTAACGCAACCTTGTCGGAAGTCGCATTAGAAGTTTAACTTCAAAAATAGATCTCAATAAAATTTGTGGATTGTAATAAATAATATGTTGTCCGTCGCCGCAGGTTCCGGATGCACGAGTGCAACCTGCTGCTGGCCACGGCGGCGCTGGAGGAGGGCATCGACCTGCCGCGCTGCAACCTCGTGCTGAGATGGGACGCGCCGCCCTCGTCAGTATACTTCTGTTTCTGTTCCGCTTTGATGTGAAACGTCTACAGCCGCACTTAGAACCGATTGCTGGCGTGGCGACGTATGACGTGGCGACACATGGCGTGGTGTGGCGACGCATGGTGTGGTGACGTGTCGCTGCGCTAGTTGATAGTATATAAGTCGAGGAGTGAACGGTTATCTGATTTAAGCGACATTTTTGCAACTTTACAGGAGAACCATTTAAAGGTTAAAATTTGGAAAAAGCACCATGACAAAAAAAACTGCAGATATTTGAATGGAGTAAAGTTAATTGAAGCTCAATTAACAATTATTGTTGATGCTAATACCAAATAAAAGGGACGTTTAATAAATAAAAAAAAAATTCTCTTAAAACAAATAGCGTTTCACCTCTCGATAAATATGCAGTCTCTATGTACAGCGTCGCCATTCGCAAGTGAATGTTTCTTAATAGTAATAATTTCTTTTCATTATGCCACAAAAAATTCGGTGTCGTAAACTATCTTATTTATGCCTTCTATACTTGTATGAAATAATATCAATATTTCACATCTGACCGCCTTCTGGCTCATTTTATTGTATACCAGATAGATTAACGAATGTTCTTAGTGTTTTCCTTACCGATTGCACAAAGGACACTGAAAAATTTCGCCTTTCAGAAAGTAGGTTTTAATTATTAATGCATCTACCCTAGCTTTTGGGAAATAAAAGTTGTATCGTTACACTTAGCTGTACTGACATGATGGAGCGTAAATAATGCCAATAAGATGTTTTAAAGGTATGATTTTTTTTAAATCACGATCGGTTTTGTTTTCCGTCCCATCATCAAAGGTGTCATTAGTACTATCGTCTGTCTTCGTTTTCGGAAGCGATCTCCTAACACCCAGTATAATAGTGAAAGCTCAGTAACCGTGAATAAGCTCCATTTGCAAGACAAGCTCGCTGTCCAGGTACCGCTCGTACGTGCTGTGCCGCAGCCGCGCCCGCGCCGCCCGCTCCGCGGCGCTCGCCCTGCTGCGGACCGGGGGCCCACTGCTCGACACGCTGCCCATCTACAGGGAACTCGATCAGGTATATCGCTCGTAATACTAATTTATAAATCAATCGTTCCGATAATTTATGGCGTCACGACGTAATATATTATAGTATAAAGTATGTCTATTATTCCTTATACTAATCTAAGTTGAATTATTTAATATTGAAATTATTTAACTTGAGGAAAGCTTTGTAAGTCTGATTATTTTTTTATTGATACCCACGTCATTAAAAAAAAAGCCTTTGACAAACAGATGAGAAAATTTCACTGTATTGCTTTATCTTCATCAGCTTATTACATTACACAATATAAATAATATGCTCTCAATGATATTACTGCCAATTTAGGTTTTGGGATGCAACCTTTCTTTGTTGAAATTATTTTGCGAGAGAAAGGGATCACGATATAAGTCTTATTCATTCAGTAAAATCTGACGATTTTGGTATATACATATATTCAATTGAGCTTTGTATAAGCAATACGGGTTGTATTTGTATCAGATGTGATGCACGGCCCAATGCAATACAAACTCGACTGACGGGATGAACGACCTCATAGGATTCGCTTTTCATTGCGCGTTAACTAACCGCTATAGTCTCCCTGAACTGTATACGTCAGGGGCGCACGAACTATTTAAAGGCGAAAGGCTATTTAATTTAAGCGACATTTTTGCAACATTACAGAAGGGACATTTAAAGATTAAAAATTAACAACTTAAATTTTCACACTTGTCACAGTATATACAAAAATGACAGGTGCTTAGAAAAAAAGAAAATTTAATTACAAATAAATATGATCATTTTTTCCATACGCGAATCTCTGGTTTTAAGAACAGCACAAACAAATATGTTAGATTAACGAATTTAAAGATATATAAATAGTTGGGAATTACATACATTCTTAGTACCGCTGCCGGATGTGTGAGAGAAAGGGAAGACAGACAGACTGGCGGCGTAACGCGTTACGTAACGAACCGCGGACTACCCTCTTATAAGAAGTTATCACTTCAATCGATAGCGTTTTGAACTATTCTCCTGATACAATTATGTATATTTTACAGATCATAACGCGGAAATGCGGATGCGGTATACAGAATGAACCGACACAACAACAGGAGGATGAGGCCGACACATTCACCGGACTCATTAAGCCCTACGCACCGAATGATAATAAAAAAGATGTATTGAGAATGGAACCACCGATCGACCATATGAAGGATAGCAAGAAAGAAACTAAATTAAGTGAAAACTATGTAACCGTGTCAGACGTTAGTGATGTTAATGAATTAAACGATAAAAGGAATGTAAAAGAAAAAGAAGATAAAAAGATTGAATGGACTAAAACAGAGGACGTCGATGTTATCTCAAATAAGTCCGAAAGTGATTTGTGTCAGACTTGTAATGACAGTGATCCTTGTCCGAGTGAAGTGTCCAAAGTGTACAGTGATCTTAAGTATGATGTCAAGTGTGAGAACGAGACGGGTGGCAGTGTGGATCTTAGTTCGGCCATAGCTTTGATTAACAGGCAAGTTAATTTTGTTTTAATAGCGTCACGCGCTGGGGTTCGGAATAAATAACAATTATACCGAAGCACAAATTAAAACTGTATAAAACACTTAACACCCACTTTAAAATTCTCAATGTATTTCATCCGCTTCGCTTCAGGTGATCCGTTCGCTGTTTCGCTTCGATTAGATCCGATTAGTGACTGAATTCGTGTCATCTCTGCAACGCTTTTATAGTCGATACGAAATCCCTAGGTTTGTCGACAACGTTCTGGGCAAGTCGAGTAGCTTCAATGTGTGTTTCCTCTATCTGACAATAGATGGCGTTGTACCTCTCGAGCATACCAGATTTCACTGGTTCTTTTGATATTCGTCTGCTATTCGACGATAGATACTTTACTTTTATTGGGGTTATAATAGTTATAGATGATAAACTAAAGAGGTGGTATCAACTGTTTATCCGAGTCTATAGATACCACAACGTCAATTCTGTGACCTGTCTCCAGATATTAGGTCGAATTTTATGTTTTATTACATACTAGCGACCCGCCTTCGCTTCGCTTCGGAAACTGTAATTTATTATTGATTTCTGCACTAGTTAATGGATGTTATTATACATGTAAAACTTTCTCTTCAATCACTCTATCTATTAAAAAAAATCGCATCAAAATCCGTTGCGTAGTTATAGGGACAGAGAAAGCGACTTTGTTTTATACTATGTAGTGACTAGCGACCCGCCCTCGCTTCGCTTCGGAAACTGTAATTTATTATTGATTTCTCCACTATTTAATTGATGTTATTATACATGTAAACCTTCCTCTTCAATCTCTCAATCATTAAAAAAAACCGCATCAAAATCCGTTGCGTAGTTATAGGGACAGAGAAAGCGACTTTGTTTTATACTATGTAGTGAAGAATATAGAGGAACTTCAAGCTTGAATGCCACAGGCAGAACGTCAGCATGGTACCAATACACCCAGTAAACGTCAGTTGATCGTCGCAGTATGCTAGTTAGTACTCTGGGAATGTATATTGCACATTCTCCTTGAAGTGCACATTGATTTTGTTCTCCAAGACATTTTTATTAGACCCTAGATAGTAGAAAAGCAGATTTCAAGCCTGAAGCCGGATTGTCAGTTTGATTTCTATAATTTTAGCGGCCTGTAATTCATGATCCATTATGAGATCGTTTTAAGCTAAAAACACGCTCATACAAATTGCCGGACAGTTTCGAAATGCTTTTGTTTTATATATCCTTTGCAGGCAGATCCATCGATACCGTCACGGCGAAGTCAAAGTTAATCTCACGACATAATAATATGATATCGTTTTCTACTTGCTAGATATCTTACGCACACTGTAACACACTACACAGTGTGCTTAGTGCGAAATTTTTAACCTTCTCGATAGCGTAAAAGTTAACCCTTAATTTGTATGGAGTTGGAACGTTTGCCTACGTTTGCCGCTAGGGGCGCTGTTCCAACTGCACACAAATTTGAGTTAACTTTTACGCTATCGAGAACGTTAAAAAACTCGCACTAAGTACAGTGCACAGTGATCTTCGCTGTTCGCTTGGAATTTGTATAGCTTTTCTCGCTTTGCACTCTTCAACTCCCGCGTGGTCGCGCTCACTTGTGCGTATGTATGCCCAACGCTACGTCCAATGCTATGCCCAACGCTATGGTCCGGAACGTAGGCAAACATGCGTGCTATAAGGTCTCTAGTAATGTGTTAATTCTCTGAACGTTCGTATATTCGTGAACTAGATGGCGTTACTTGTTCATGTCTAGTAGCGCTATTGGCCAAGAGATGGCTCTAGCTGTCATAAGCTATTGAAACATCATAATTTATCACATTAGTATTGTTAGAACGATACCCGTTACCATTTTATACAAAATTCATTTATCGGGAAAAAAATATTGAAGTATTAATTTTTGTTATCAGGTACTGTGGAAAGCTTCCCTCCGACACGTTTACTAGGTTGGCCCCTCAGTGCTGGACGGACAAGGTTCGACTCCCTGGTCGGGACGGTGTCGAACGGGACGCATACATCTGCACGTTGAGGCTGCCACTGAACTGTCCTGTTAAATATAATATTGTCGTAAGTATACTTATTCAATTCATTATCATTAGCTTGGTAGAGACAGGGTCCCTACCTGACCTGCTATTTTTAATATTTATCTATATATTAATACGTGAAGCAAAAACATTGTACCCCTTTTTACAAAAAATGCGCGGGCGGAGGAGTATGTAATTTCCCACATTTATAGAGATTATAGAGAAAGAGTGCAGAATGTTAATTTTATTTTTAAATTATGCATTAAATATAAATTAAATCAATAAAATAAAAACATTACACACACTACTATGTATTTGACCACACATATATATACTCTTTGCTTATCGTCAAACTTTTATTAAATGTTTAAAGTCTGTGGTCAAATTGAGAATAGATTAATATTGTTTATCTTTAAAGTTATTTGTCTATAGTGTAGTCTTGGCGAAATCTTTGATTAGAGAAGTATGATAGTATTTAACAATAGACCCTTAATAATGTTCAGACTTATAAATTTAATTATAGTCGAATTCCGACTACTGTGAGAGAGACCACTAGTACTTATTAATATTTCAGAGTATTTTGAGAGCTATTTGTATTTTTGAAAATATAAATTAATCATTTTCCCATAAAATAGTGTCTATTAAATATCAAGCACGATAAAATAACAGTTTCGTGTTACTCATAACAATTAAAAATCAACATACGATAAACTAAATTGTAAATAATGACGAATTATTGGCGATAATGGCGATTAGCGCTTGTGGCGACTCACTTATCCGCCACTACTTGGGCAACCGCCTTACTATTCGACAGAATCGCTGTCGCTTGTGATTTTAGGCCATCATCCATTATTGTTGTTCAAAACACGTTCGGGAGATACTTCGATAATCTTGGAAACTCCGGGCAGTACATATGCATGCTCACTGTATTACTCATCCTTTGTGTTAGTGCTTATCCAATACAGTTAGTGAAGCAGCACTACTACTACTGCCCCTACACGCTCATATATACTTGTACACTAGGGTTGCCACCCGTACTTTATAATAAAGTATAAGTTATTTCAGGTACTCTATACATTATGTGAAAAACACAGTACACGAAAAAACTTTATTTGGCATGATTTGCTTTCTTTGATATTTTGAAAAGTTTAGTCTTAATAATATGTATTTTTTCGTTAATCAAAATACAGGGATTGCTCAATCGATTTAAATGCTCAATAATAAAATAATATAATAATAACAATGGTTTCTCTCCCAATAGTCCCTAACGCTCCGGCCGATTGCTGCCCACCTCGCCGGAGTGTGTTCTGCCGTCTTCCCAGGCGAGGCAGTGTTTAATACAAATAATAATAATAATAAATAAATTATACTTTATTCTAATACGATGTACTTTATCTGCAAAAAAAAGGTGGCAACCCTATTGCACACCTTACACTTGAGCGAATCCCAGCTGCATTGATCGAGTTGGTGATATACTGAAGGTTGTCCAGTAACCGTCTCCCGGTCTACCGCAGGGCCACCCGATGCCGAGTCGAGTGCTGGCGCGGCGCATGGTGGCGCTGCAGGCCTGCAGGATACTGCACAGGTCCGGAGAGCTGGACGACCAGCTGCAGCCCATAGGTGAGCTTCTAATCCTAGACATCACGGTACTGTATGCTCAGTGCGACGTTTTTAACGTTCTCGATAACGTAAAAGTTAGCTCGTTTGGAACCTCTGGGTCTGCGGAGGGACTTCGGTTCCCACTGTATTTTGTACCGTATGTTCTATGGGGAGTGCTCTGAGGAATTGTTCGAGATGACATCGTCATTTTGTTTTTACCATCGCATCGCCCACCACCGGAGTAGAGTTCATCCATACTACCTGGAGCCATTACGTTCATCCACAGTGCGTTTCCAGAGGTCTTTTTTGCCACGTACCATCCGGCTATGGAATGAGCTCCTCTCCACGGTGTTTCCCGAGCGCTATGACATGTCCTTCTTCAAACGAGGCTTGTGGAGAGTATTAAGCGGTAGGCAGCGGCTTGGCTCTGCCCCTGGCATTGCTGAAGTCCATGGGCGACGGTAACCCCTCACCATCAGGTGGGCCGTATGCTCGTCTGCCTACAAGGGCAATAAAAAAAAACATATTTGTATGGAAAGGGATCGTTTACCTACATTTGCTGTTAGGGGCGCTGTTCCAACTGCGTACAAAATTGGGGTTAACTTTTACGCTATCGAGAACGTTAAAAAACTTGCACTAAGCGCACTGGTCACAAGCTATTTTACACCAGTGAGCCCGTTCATGGGCTTCCCTCGTCCACTTCTTGCGACCATTGTTCGCAAGTCATCGCTCCGCCTGACCGGTTGTTGGTCTAATGTATTTTAGATATAAACAGTCCGGCCCCAAAGTGAGATTCCATGTGCTATAGCAATATACGCTAATGCTATATGTGATATAATCGAATATATAGTCGTCAGCCTACAAGGGCAATAAAAAAAAATTTACAGACAGCGAGATCTGTGTGCTTAGTGCGAGTTTTTTAACGTTCTCGATAGCGTAAAAGTTAACTCTTAATTTGTATGAAGTTGGATCGTTTGCCTACGTTTGCCGCTAGGGGCAAAGTGATTGTATGTTCGAACTGCATACAAATTTAAGTTAACTTTTACGCTTTCGAGAACTCGCACCAAGCACGCTGTTCGTTTCTATCCTATCCGGAATCAGATTCACGATTCTCGTGTCAGTAGTCAGATGTGTAGTTGTTACCGATCACCGTTCTCGTCGAACCCGTTGCTTGCGACGAAGGGCTCGACGAGTAAATTAACCCACAGACACAGCCCACTGAGTTTCTCGCCGGATCTTCTCAGTGGGTCGCGTTTCCGATCCGGTGGTAGATACTGCGAAACACTCCCGGCTTGAGCCCCGTGAGCTAACAAATGTTTTGGTTTTGTGTCTCAGGAAAAGAGAATTTCAAGGCAGCCGAACTCGATTCCCGCGACAGTTCGGAGGAGGGCGGCGAGCTGGCGCGGCCCGGCACCACCAAGCGCCGCCAGTACTACTACAAACGGGTCCGTTGTACATTGACGACATCGCGGACCTGGAACGATGCACTAGTCTAAAACAAACCGAGAACATATTATATCGAGGAGTGAGAGGCTATCTATGGTAGTTTTCCAATTACAGCACTAGAGCGCATTATGCGGCATAATGCTCAACGTTGAATGTTCCAACTACAGCAACGCTTCGCACAATCGAGCACTCTCAAAAGTACTGCTCTCGCGTGATGCGTGCAATCGATACCGACTCAGTGACAGAAAATTGACAAGTGTTTTTTCTTTAATTTGGCATTGATCGAAATTTTGTTTATGTTATCATTAGTAATATTATTTAATGTTGAAAAAAATTGTAAGGCTTTCGTTTCGTCATAGTTTCTTAGTAATAATCAATGTTAATTAAAACTGTGCTAACTTAGCGCACTCTGCTGATGCATTTGAAAACTAAATCACGTTCCAATTAAGCTTCAGCATAATTCGGCATTGTGCGTCACCGAGTCGCATTATGCTCTGTAATTGGAAAACTACCTATTTAAAGCGAATTATACTACTACACTAGCGGCCCGCTCCGGCTCCGCTCGGGTCTTGAACAAAAGTTTCAACGATATTTGACGTTGTTTTTTTTTTTAATAAAACAACACATATTGTGGCATAATTATTATAATTAAACATCTACAACGTTTTAGTACATTATTTTGTTGTATCATCAATAGTTTTCGCAGGGCACGCGAAAGAAATTTTAGGTAATTTTGTAAAAGATATTTTAGGTAATTTTTTTACACCTTGGGTTACATTATTAGAGTAAGGATCTCAAATTTTTAAAAAAATATAATATTATAGCCTATGTCACTCGGGAATAGTGTAGCTTCCAAACAGTGAAAGAATTTTTCAAATCGGTTCAGTAGTTTCGGAGCCTTTTCAATACAAACAAATAAACAAATCTTTCCTCTTTATAATATTAGTATAGACTAGCTTTCGCCCGACTTCGTCCGCGTGAAGTAGTTACTTTGGCATAACGATAAATTTTACCCCCACTTGATTTACGTAGAAAGTGAAAATATTTTTGAATTACAGAATGTTAAGGAGCTATTTAAACCCCTATTTTGAAACATTCTTTATTGGTGCTCTACTTGTATTGGCCTTACCGTGATGTTATATAGCATATAGCCTTCCTCAGTAAATGGGTTATCTAACACTGAAAGAATTTTTCAAATCGGACCAGTAGTTCCCGAGATTAGCGCGTTCAAACAAACAAACTCTTCAGCTTTATAATATTAGTATAGATTTATTGAAGTGAAAATTTCTTTAGCATCATTGTGAGTCGAAAGTCGATGAAACGAAAAAGCGACAGTAAAAAGAGACAGACACATAAATTCATAAGATTTAACGTATGAGAAAATGAGATACGAAGCATTGTACAGTGTTTTTTTTTGTAATGAAAGAAGCGTTTTATTTGGTATTAGCATCAACAGTTTGATGTTTTTAATTGAACTTCAACTACGCTTACTCTATTCAAATAGATAAAGAAGTTTTTGAAGTGAAAACTTCTTTAGAATCGTTGTGATTTCAAACCGGATGCAACGGAAAAAACGACAGGTAAGAGACAAATACAAAAGAATGAGACAGAAATATACATACTATTTAATACAGCGCCATCTGTGAGATTTTTTTAATACTAACGTGTGTATGAAAGCTCTTGTAGTGAATTTTAATTTAGGATTATACGTGAAATTAAAATATCAATTCACAGAGGGCGCTACCTTACAATTATTTACTAATGACAAAATTTTACATATACTTAANTATACATACTATTTAATACAGCGCCATCTGTGAGATTTTTTTAATACTAACGTGTGTATGAAAGCTCTTGTAGTGAATTTTAATTTAGGATTATACGTGAAATTAAAATATCAATTCACAGAGGGCGCTACCTTACAATTATTTACTAATGACAAAATTTTACATATACTTAAGACGTTTAGGATAATTGTATTTTAATTTTGGAAGGTCTACCACGTGTGAATTGCACACATGTATTTTTTTTTTGTATAATATATATTTTTTTCAAATGTTTAATCTTTAAATGGCTCTCCTGTGAAGTTGCAAAGGGTCGCTTTAGCCAAATAGGCTTTCACATCTCGATATAACTTAGGCCGTATTATGACTCAGAATAGCGTAGTTATTCGTCAGACAATTGAGTCTTCAATCTCGCTCCTTGAGGTGGGTCACGTGTCTAAACATGTAAGAAAAAACGTATGAGATATGTTTTTCCTTACGTACGACCGTATTGCGACTTTTGAATGGTTCATTGAAGCTTCGGTCAATTCCTGATTAAAAAGTCCGGTAACCGATGGCCGTAATTAATGTTAATAAAAACTTTGGTATTTTTGGTTTGCCAGACGGCGTCCGCGTTCACGGACTGTCAGCCGATAGAGGACAGCAGCGACACGGAGGTGGACCCGCCCGACGGCGTGCCCAGGACGATGCCGACGCCCAGGCCGGAGCCAAAGCCAGGTCTGCGGTTTTTTTCTCCCACCTAAGCTGATAGCTTTGAGAGGCGATGTCAGCGTAACCCTAACACGTAGGACGTAACACGTCCCTGAGGACGTTGCTAACACGAACCCTAGCAAGAGCCGTGCTTCTCAGAATCTACCACCGGATCGGAAACGCGACCTACTGAGAAGATCCGGCGAGAAACTCAGTGGGCTGTGTCTGTCGGTTAATTTGCTCGTCGAGCCCTTCGTCGCAAGCGACGGGTTTGACGAGGACAATGAATGGATCGGGTGGATCCGTTATGACGTGGCAGGTCCGCCTTTTATGTATATATAGCTCCCATTTACTTCCAGCCGATTTGTTCCACAAACATGAAGTATTAGGAACGTAAGCTTGTCAATAACAACGTTATGAAGTAAGGGATCATTCTAATACAAAACTACCTTACGAAATATGAAAAAAAATTATAATTAATCAATTAGCAGAAATATTAAGCAGGAAATTAATATGTCGCGCCACTTGAAGCAGTAAGGTCGTTGTCCTCGTTTGTGCAGTACTTACGTCAGAATTTCTTTCCACTGCCCGCAGTGCAAAAAGAATCAACGGAATATTTTTTTTCAGTATTAGTTAAAATCGACCTACTACTGCCCCAATGTTTCTCAATTCGATTACCGATATTTATTTCTTTAGATTCGCTTCAAATAGAATTTGATTAATTACTAAATGCTCTCATATCGTCTTTGCATCGCTCTAATAGCCGACATGACATTTTTTGAGAATATTCCCGATATTACTGGTCGGATCGATGTCCGTTCTCGCTATTTGACAACAGATGGCGTTACTCGTACCGATATAATTCACCTCGAACGTTTCCAACAGTACTAGTTGTTTGGATATCCTTTTCTGGTATTGTAAAATGCTATTGTAGGCAGTCGACCATACTTGATGCTGAGTGGTTACCGTCGCTCATGGACATCAGCAATGCCACAAGTAGAGCCAAACCGCTGCCTATTGGTGGCGGCAATATTTAACAACAACCGAGTCTGATTGGGAACCTACTGATATTTCCGTAGTCCATACTGCAGTCAGGTTTTTTTTTTTGTTTAGATGGGTGGACGAGCTCACAGCCCACCTGGTGTTAAGTGGTTACTGGAGCCATTAAAATGATCTCATTAAAAATATTTTTCAGGCTTGGGAAGAGTCGCATAATGCCCTTGGGGTTTTCTGCGACTTATCTAAAGCTTTTGATTGTGTTGAGCATAATACATTGTTGAGGAAATTACACCACTATGGTATTAGGGGCGTTTCATTAGAACTTATTAAATCTTATTTATCCGGAAGAATCCAAAAGGTAGACGTTAAAGGAACGAGATCTTCCGGTGTCTTACTTAATATGGGTGTTCCTCAGGGTTCCATATTGGGTCCCTTCCTATTTCTTGTATATATCAATGATTTACCTAAGTTTATTGAAACCCGTCACGAGGTCGTATTATTCGCTGATGATACATCATTATTGTTTAAAATTAAACGACATTTGGAAGATTATGACGATGTGAATGATGCTATCTCGCGCGTGGTACATTGGTTTAGTGTTAATAATCTGTTATTAAATAACAAAAAAACAAAATGTATAAAATTTACCACACCTAATGTTAGACAAGTTGACACTAATATTACTGTAAGTGGAGAGACACTGGAGCTTGTGGATTCGACAGTTTTTCTTGGTATAACAGTTGATTCCAAGCTGCAGTGGGGTCCTCACATATGCAAGTTAGCGAGTAGGCTTAGTTCTGCAGCGTTTGCGGTAAAAAAAATACGAATGTATATTAATGAAGATACGGCACGCCTGGTTTATTTTAGTTATTTTCATAGTGTTATGTCCTATGGCATTTTGCTATGGGGCAATGCTGCCGATGTCGAAACGATTTTCATCCTGCAGAAGAGGGCTATTCGTGCTATTTATAATATGCACCCGAGGGAATCCTTGAGGGACAAGTTTAAGGAAATCAAAATTCTAACTTTAGCGTCCCAATACATTTTTGAAAATTTATTGTACGTGCGTAAAAACATTGAAGAATTCCCCAGAGTCTGCGATTTGCACAATGTGAACACTAGGAACAAACATAGGCTTGCGTTGCCGGCGGCTCGAATTAAGAAAATAAGCAACTCTTTTAGGGGGCTGGGTGTACAGCTTTTCAACAAGATCCCACTAAACGTTCAACTACTACCTGTTCATAGATTTAAGAAAGGATTATTTACTAGATGGCACTACGTGGGAATGAGGCGCTCGCTCCTGGCCTTTTCATTTTTCATTATTATTATTATTTTTTTAATTGTATTTTTTGACTTGTTTTTTCTTTTATTGTGAATATTTCTATTTATTAAAAAAAAAAAAAAAATATTTGAGAAAAAACAAAAAAAAAGCCCGCTGAGTTTGTTTCGCCGGTTCTTCTCAGGACTGTGGCTTTTTTTGGAACCGGTGGTAGAGTTAACATTGTTATTTGTATTTTGACATTCAACAAGTGTGTCATACTGACATCTAAGTTGAAATAAATGATTTTGAATTTGAATTTGAGCCCATAGACATCTACAACGTTAATGCGCCACCCACCTTGATATATAAGTTCTAAGATCTCAGTATAGTTACAACGGCTGCCCTACCCTTCAAACCGAAACGCATTACTGCTTCACGGCAGAAATAGGCAGGGCGGTGGTACCTACCCGCGCTGACTCACAAGAGATCCTACCATCAGTAATTACAAAAATTAAAATTGTATTTTCTTCTTCTTCTTCTTTCTTCTTCTTCTAATTAAAATTAGTAAATACGTATTTCATTAGAAAAATTGGTACCCGCCTGCGGGATTCGAAAATCGGTGCATCGTTCAACACGAATGCACCGGACGTCTTATCCTTTAGGCTACGACGACTTCTAAAATACTGCAGTCAGGCTCAGTTTAGTCGTTCATAAAGTAGTCCACGGCTGGTTAACGTTTCAATGACTCGGCGCGGATCGTTCAGGCGAGAAGAGGAACGTGCTGTACCTGTTGTCGAGCGAGTTGCGCTGCGCCCTGCCGGAGCGGTACAACACGCGAGGCCGCCGCCTGCACGCGCCGCAGCACGCGCACCACGCGCTCGCGCTGCTGCTAGCGCGGACCGACACGGACTTGCAGTGAGATTATATACTCACTCATTCACTCACTCACATCTTTACTGAATCAATCATTCACTCATTCGCCTAATCATTTGACTTACTCACATACTGAAGCAATCACTCACTCATTCGTTCACTTTATCGCTCATCCAGTAAATTACTCACTCACTCACTTACTGAATCACTCACTCACTCACTGGCTCACTCATTCAGTCACTTATTCACGCACTCAGTCACTTACATACTTACTGAATCAATCACTTACTCATTCGCTTAACCACTCACTTTCACATACTTTACATACATTGAATTAATCACTCACTAACATGCTTACTTGCACGCTCATTGAGTCACTTATACACGCACTCACTCATATACTTACTGAATCAATCACTCACTCGTTCACCGATTCATTAATTCACTCACTATTACTCTGACTCACTCTATACTTTAGAATGAAGTAGGCACTGACAGCTGTCGGCTCAGCTTGCAGGTGCCGGCGTTCCCGGTGTACACGCGCTCGGGCGAGGTCCGCGTGAGTCTGCAGCACGCGCCCGACGCCGACGTGAGGATCTCGCCGCGCAGAGGACGCCTCGTGCGCAGGTACACTACACACGGGCTTTGTTAGTCCACTGCAGGGATTCCAAAAGTGGTCGAAATCGGTTTCCCAGGCTTAGCGAAGACTGATTTTGGGGCTCGATGAGGTCTAAAAATCGACCCCCATTAATTAACACAAGCTCTTATTTGTTAAGTTGCAAGATACTGTACGAGGTGCGGTACGTGCATACTTGTACGCACATGTACTTGTTGTGAAAATTACTAATATTTTCATAAGAAGTATTATTGTTGTATTTATGGTTACTGTCTATGCGCCCAAAAACTACCAAAAAAAAAAAAAAACTATCAACGAGCACTACTGCAACCGCACCGTCACTTCTCTCGCGGCAACCTTACGCACAACACCTGTGTACCTGTATATTGTCACGGCCGTTATTTCAAATATAATTTGGAAGGAAAAATAAAACATTCATTTCGTTTGTACACCACTGCTTGCCTTCTCTTCCTCGCCAACAGTTACCATTCATTTCTATATACTATTATTTTCTGAATTTTATGTCTTTTTATTATGTCTGTATATTTTTATCAATTTTAAGTTTTTTGAATCAATAGGGAAAAAAAAATTGAGATGGGATTTTAAAAGTATTTTTTGCAATGGAGGTCTGCGGTAGCAGTTCATTTTGGAAAAGGAGGTCTCTTGCCTAGAAAGGTAGATGGCGGCATTTACGTTGCAGATGTCTATGGGCTCCTGTAACCACTTAGGTAGGCTAGACTTTTGTTAGACAGCGGCTTGGCTCTACCCCTGGCTTGGCTGAAGTCCATGGGCAACGGTAACCACTCACCATCAGGTGGGCCGTGTGCTCGTCTGCCTACAAGGGCAATAAATAAAAATAAAAAAACAGGGTGGGCCGTGAGCTCGTCTAATTTAAGCAATAAAAAAAAAAAGATCTCAAGCTTAGAGTCGGGTGGGAACCTCTACGCTCCGATATCCCCTAAGCTACAGAGCCAGTGCGGCGTTGGTTCACCGGTGCTCAAGACACTTTTTGGAACGAAGTTCCTTACGGCAGGCTTGGAGGGGATAGGGATTTTGCTGCGCGACCGAACTGAAAAAATGTGATAGTAAAACCGTAAGAAAAAATCCGTGGAAAAAAGTGCGTGGAAAAAAGTGCATGGAATAAAACCGTTAAATGAGACGTGCGCAGGTGCGACAGTCGCGTACACAAGCGAGTAGTGTATAATACCTTTCTCTTTCTCCTTCTTTCTTTTCGTTCTCTAATCCCTTCTCTCTCTATTTAGTAATTATTTCTATTTCTATGTAATTTTATGTTGTCAACCAAAAATAAAGAGATATAATTTGGTTATTTTAATTGATAATTTGAATTACTATTTTTTTATTTTACGCAATTTATTATTTCCTAAAATACTGAATTTCCTAAATACTTTCCCGTACTTAAATAAAAACTAATCAGCAAAATTTAAGAGAAAAACCAAGAAAACCTACATTAAATTGAGCACCATTTCTTTTTTTGCAAATTGTGTCGATTCTACATTAGCCGAAGGAACTTCGTTCCTACCTGGTGTCCCACGACACCACATCTTTTATTTTATTTTTATTTTTTATTGCTTGGATGTGTGGACGATCTCACAGCCCACCTGGTGTTAAGTGGTTACTGGAGCCCATAGACATCCACGACGTAAATGCGTCACCCACCTTGAGATATAAGTTTTGAGGTCTCAAGTATAGTTACAACGCTCCGTCCAATGCTATGCCCAACGCTACGTCCAATGCTACGTCCAATGCTATGCCCAACGCTACGGTCCGGAGCGTTGGCAAACGTTCGTGCTGTAAGGTCTCTGTCTAAGTAATGCGTCAATCGTTCTCTGATCGTTCGTACGTTCTTGAACTAGATGGCGTTACTTGTTCATGTCTAGTAGCGCTATTGGCCAAGAGATGGCTCTAGCTGGCATAAGGTATTAATACATAATTTATCACATTAGTATTATTGGAAAGACTTTTTTTTTTTTATTGCCCTTGTAGGCAGACGAGCATACGGCCCACATGATGGTGAGTGGTTACCGTCGCCCATGGACTTCAGCAATGCCAGGGGCAGAGCCAAGCCGCTGCCTACCGTTTAATACTCTCCACAAGCCTCGTTTGAAGAAGGACATGTCATAGCGCTCGGGAAACACCGTGGAGGGGAGCTCATTCCATAGCCGGATGGTACGTGGCAAAAAAGACCTCTGGAAACGCACTGTGGANGTGAGTGGTTACCGTCGCCCATGGACTTCAGCAATGCCAGGGGCAGAGCCAAGCCGCTGCCTACCGTTTAATACTCTCCACAAGCCTCGTTTGAAGAAGGACATGTCATAGCGCTCGGGAAACACCGTGGAGGGGAGCTCATTCCATAGCCGGATGGTACGTGGCAAAAAAGACCTCTGGAAACGCACTGTGGATGACCGCAGTGGCTCTAGGTAGTATGGATGAACTCTACTCCGGTGGCGGGCGGTGCGATGGTAAAAACGAGATGCCGGTATCATCTCGAACAATTCCTCAGAGCACTCCCCATGGAACATACGGTACAAAATGCAGAGGGAACCGAAGTCCCTCCGCAGACCCAGACTACTATTATTATCATTTTAGTTAAAATTCATTTATTGGGGAAAAAATAATTAAAGTATGAATTCGCCCGCCCTTCAAGCCGAAACGCATTACTGCTTCACGGCAAAAATAGGCAGGGTGGTGGTACCTACTGGCGCGGACTCACATGAGGTCCTACCAGCAGTAAGAAACGCTTGTGGTGGACAGGTTCATGCGCTTCGTGTTCTCGGAGGTGCTGCGCGTCCGGCGGCGCGGCATGAGGCTGCAGAGCGAGGGCTCCACGCACAACAACTACTACGTGGTGCCGACGATAAAGAGTGAGTGGCACGCGCGACCCCAGCGCCGCCCCGCGGCTGAAATACGTAAAGTTTCAACATCTGTAGTAGTACTGGTACCGAGGCACAGATGGCGCGCGACGCGACTCGAGAGATTACGGCTTCTTCTTCATATAAATATATCGGCGAAACTTCACTATCTCTATATAAATATAAATATATATATATATAGTGTCTGTTTGTAATATTGAGATAACCGCAGTAGGCGGCAGGCAGCGGCTTGCCTCTGCTCCTGGAATTGCTGAAGTCCATGGGCGACGGTAACCACTTACCATCAGGTGGGCCGGACGCTCGTCTGCCTACAAAGGCAATAAAAAAACCGCTTTTTACTACATGCATATGAAAATATATACGGTACATACATCAAAATAACATTTTTTACAATTTTTGTTTGTCTGTCTGTTTGTTTGTTCCGGCTAATCTCTGAAACGGCTGGACCGATTTGACGGGACTTTCACTGACAGGTAGCTGATGACATAAGGAGTAGCTTAGGCTACTTTTTTTTAGACTAGCTTCGCCCTGCGGCGTCACCCGCAGTTATTGTCATACCGCGCGCAACATGGCGGAACTCGCCTATCAATAATAAAATTTAATGTTTTCGAAGCGAAGCGAGGGCGGGTCACTAGCTTAAACTAAAAATAGTTAAAGTTAACTTTTTCCTTAATGTACCGCATGTCAACAACTGTTTAAGACGGTATTGAAGAGAATTCATGACTAAGCTACCCCTCACTTTCTACTATAAATACGAGTGACTATTGTCGCACATAACTCATCTCGGATCCTCCCGATCCACTAACGGTGCTTTTAGGTACCTCAAGCACCGGTCACCGTTCTCGTCGAACCCGTCGCTTGTAACGAAGGGCTCGACGAATAAGTTAACCCACAGACACAGCCCACTGAGTGTCTCGCCGGATCTTCTCAGCGGGTCGCGTTTCCGATCCGGTGGTAGATTCTGCGAAGCACTTGTTAGCAACGTCGTCAGGTTTGCCCCTTGAGGAAGCTCACCTACTAGTTAACGTTACGGTGATATGGTTTTTCTAGATCATCAGTTAGGTAGGAAAAAAAAAGCACAAAACATTCCGGGTCGATCAGCCGAACCAAGCGGACCTATCAGATGGCCCGATACAATAATTTAATAATATTTCGCTCTTAATGTCCTGACCAGTATCGAAAGGATAAAATAAGATGTATGTAATTGTTAGTTCTATTATTATTATTTTGCTTTTAATCTACACGTATTATTAATAAGGGAATGCTTTGGATTTTGATGAACAGTGACGTCATTATTCAATTCAGCGTGGTCTCTGTTCGTGCTGCGGTCTGTTCTGGCGGCTCGGAGACTATTAGAATTCTTGAAGATGCTGGCTGCTCTTCTGTAAGCGAACGAAGCTGCCGGTAATAGCTTTTTAGATATACGTCGAAACTTTTAATTACAGCCGTAAAGGAGGACGGTACTCCGAAAATCGATATCGACTGGGCGTTCTTGGAGCTGATATATAAACATACCGAGGAGAAGAAGAGCAGCGAAGTGGAGAAACCGATGCTGTGGAGGAACGAAGACGAGGGGGAGGAGGGAGATGAGGGGGAGCAGGGGGGTGACGTCAGCGGGAAGCAGGTACGATGTTGGATTGCTTTGTGACTTAACACTAATCACACCAACACTTACTGGTACCTATTTCTACCATAGCGGGTAGATAACGATATACGACAAGAATTACTCAAAATAAACAAACAAAACAACAACAAAAATAGTATAATAGTACTGTAGATTAATTGGTAAGAAAAAGTCATCGAAGTCAAATGTGCAAAATCAATAAGATGATACGTACACTTTCAATGCAAAAGTTCAAAATGGCTCATTTGACCCGTTATGGTGTGTTTAGTGGCAATACACAGTTTTTAAATTCGAATAACCGCTTATATAAAACAACTAAGACTTCGACCGCACTTCTCAATGGTGGGGGGCGGCTCAGGGTAGCTTCTAGAAACACTTGGATGGTCTTCGTGAAAGAGAGGATATGTAAGAAAAGTTCTTTTTTATTGCCCTATAAGCAGAAGAACATACGGCCCACCTGATGGTGAGTGTTTACCGTCGCTCATGGACGTCTGTAATGCCACAAGCAGAACCAAACCGCTACCTACATTATTAAATTATTATACACATATGGATGAATGAAAATTAATCTGTTGGTAGGACCTCTTGTGAGTCCGCACGGGTAGGTACCACCACCCCGCCTATTTCCGCCGTGAAGCAGTAATGCGTTTCGGTTCGAAGGATGGGGCAGCCGTTGTAACTATACTGAGACTGTAGAACTTATATCTCGAGGTGGGTGGCGCATTTACGTTGTAGATGTTTATGGGCTCCAGTAATCACTTCACATCAGGTGGGCTGTGAGCTCGTCCACCCATCTAAGCAAGAAAAAAATGAACCATCTATTATCCTTCAAAGGTGAAGCAGAAAGGGAAAGTGAAGAAGATGGACAACCCGCTCCTGAAGCCGGGCGAGGTGTTCGTGTTTGACCCCGACAAGTACAAGGAGGCGGTCGTGACGCCGTGGTACAGAAACCAGGACCAGCCGCAGGTGAGACCCGGATACAGTACGCGTCACACGCCCGAGGGGGTCAGGGAGTAATAATAATAATAATAAACATTTATTCCAAACATAAGTTAGGTACAAAAAATATTAAAAAGATAACAAAAATAACGAGGCCTCGAAACGGTTACCGGCTCAGTAATGCCTAACAGTAACGAAACAATCGGTACTGCAGCGCTGATCTTCCGCCGGCACCTGCCGAATGACGCGCACACCAGCATCAGACCGATCAATCCACAATAATGTAAAATATATAAAAAAAATAACAAGAATTAAAAAAAAAATGTTACGAAAAGAACAACAAAATGACATTATTAAATTAATTAAATAATAATTGCAGTTGCAATGCACAATTATAGTACGGAATAATTATATTTGATATTTTCAAATTTTACTAACAGGTGGTAGTTCTATGTCCAAATATCTTTCGGTTCAATGTGAGTGGTAAAATTGTAAAGGAGGTCGGGTCGCAGTGGTGATGGCTCCCAAAACAAAGAACACGCAATGTAACACAATTGACGTGCAGGGTCAATGACCCCGCGTTTACGAGTGAGACAGCGATACCAGCTTCGTGTTGCCGACTAACGAAAATTAACGGTACATACTGATACGCGCTAGGGTTCGGGATAAATAAAATGTATTCAACACTTGGAACACTTAACACACTTAACAAACACTTTGAGATTCTCAATTCGTTTCTTCCGTTTCGCTTCAGGTGATCCGTTCGCTGTTTCGCTTCGAGTAGTTTGGATTACTGAGTGACTGCGTGCCATCTCTGCAACGCTTTTATAGTCGAGACGAAATCTTTAGAATCGTCGAGAATATTCCACAAAAGTCTAGTATTGTGTGTTTCCGCTATCTGACAATAGATGGCGTTGTACTTCACGAGCGTTCTAGATGCTACTAGATCCTTCAATATTCGTTCGACTGTTCGGCGATAGATGGCGTTACTCTTACCGGCGTAACAATACTTACCCGATAGATGTCGTTGTCGCAGAAGAACATTTTAGTTTAGGACTTCGCAAACTTACATTGCATCTCCTTTCCTCTACTTATTTTACTGGTGGTAGAACGTTTTGTAAGTCCGCACGGGTAGGTACCACCGCCCCGCCTATTCCTGCCATGAAGCAGTAATGCGGCTTGGGGGACGGGGCAGCCGTTGTAACTATACTGAGACCTTAGAACTCATATCTCAAGGTGGGTGGCTGCATTTACGTTGTAGATGTCTATGAGCTCCGGTAACCACTTAACACCAGGTGGGCTGTGAGCTCGTCCAAACATCTATGCAATAAAATAAAAAAACCTACGAAACGTGCCACCAGTACTTCCTGGTGGCAGAGATATGCTGGCGCCTGAGTCCCGACTCCGTGTTCCCGTCGGCGAGCCACGCGACCTTCCGCGACTACTACCAGAACAAGTACGGCGTCACCATCACGCAGAGCAAGCAGCCGCTGCTGGACGTGGACCACACCAGCGCCAGACTCAACCTCCTCACTCCCAGGTTTTTTTTACACGTTTTCTTATTATACTGAATATTTAATTTAAATGAAATAAAAATATAAAATGTCAAAGTTTGACAATCCTCAATTGTCAAACGTCAAATGTTTGTTGAATATTTCAATAAAGACAAAACGAATAAAACCTTCCGACAGATACGTGAACCGCAAGGGCGTGGCGCTGCCCGTGTCGTCGGAGCGCACCCGCCGCGCCAAGCGCGAGCGCCTCGACCAGAAGCAGCTCCTACTGCCCGAGCTGTGCCGCGCGCATCCCTTCGCCGCGCCGCTGTGGGCCGCCACCGTCGCGCTGCCCTGTGCGCTCTACCGGTCAGTCGCCCCGCAGTGTACACCGCGCCACACTCGCCCCCCACACTCGCCCCGCAGTGTACACCGCGCCACACTCGCCCCCCACACTCGCCCCGCAGTGTACACCGCGCCACACTCGCCTCGCAGTGTACACCGCGCCACATTTGCCCCGCAGTGTACACCGCGCCACACTCGCCTCGCAGTGTACACCGCGCCACACTTGCCCCGCAGTGTACACCGCGCCACACTCGCCTCGCAGTGTACACCGCGCCACATTTGCCCCGCAGTGTACACCGCGCCACACTCGCCTCGCAGTGTACACCGCGCCACACTTGCCCCGCAGTGTACACCGCGCCACACTCGCCTCGCAGTGTACACCGCGCCACACTTGCCCCGCAGTGTACACCGCGCCACACTCGCCTCGCAGTGTACACCGCGCCACACTTGCCCCGCAGTGTACACCGTGCCACACTCGCCTCGCAGTGTACACCGCGCCACACTTGCCCCGCAGTGTACACCGCGCCACACTTGCCCCGCAGTGTACACCGCGCCACACTCGCCTCGCAGTGTACACCGCGCCACACTTGCCCCGCAGTGTACACCGCGCCACACTCGCCTCGCAGTGTACACCGCGCCACACTTGCCCCGCAGTGTACACCGCGCCACACTCGCCTCGCAGTGTACACCGCGCCACACTCGCCTCGCAGTGTACACCGCGCCACACTCGCCTCGCAGTGTACACCGCGCCACACTCGCCCCGCAGTGTACACCGTTACTCACAGCTGTACTGTTTGTTGTCCAGTATAAACGCGTTGCTAATCGCGGAGGAGATCCGTCGCTCGGTGGCCGTGGAGGTCGGGCTGGGCATCCCGCACCCGCGCGCCCGCCCGCCCCCGCTCGACTTCGGCTGGAGTCTCGCCGAGGTGAGCACGAGCCGCATATCTCGACTTTAAAAACATTAAACATTTAGTAAACGTTAACATTTAAAATCAATGAAACCACATTTATTGTGTAATTTTATGATAATATAGTCCAGAATCCTTCTTCGTTTTGCTCAGCCCAGCATGTACTCTCATTATGCTACATAGGAATTTGGAATTAGTTTCAACTCGGGTTATTTCCCAGTACTACAAAAAGGAAGGGATTTTTCTGATTCTCCTGTTTCAAAATTCTAAACCAAAAATTAAATTATTAACTTCATATTTTTTAATCTAATTATATCACTGCTGTTTTATCGATATTCTACGTTAATTCAAACTACCCGCATCGGTCAGGCGGCGCGAGCGCGTCACTATTCTAGTCACAGGAAGTCCGCTTTCTGTACATTAGTAATGTGACAGTTTCCGTTTGTACATCATTCTCATACAGGTGTTGTCAGCCGACGCGGAGAAGAACGATAAGAAGAAAGAGGAAGAGTCGAAAAAGGAACAGAAAGAGAAGGAAGACAAGTGAGTTGTGGTTTTTAAGCGAAATCTTTATAGCATCTTTGAATTTGGTTATTATATTTTGTATGTCAGTATAAGTTCAGCCAAAGATAAGTTAAGATATACGCTATTTATTTATTATTAGATACTGTACACTTGTTGAACACTTACCCTACAATATACAAGCGGAATCGTCAGACGTTGTCCTGCACACACAAAATGAATGAAACTAGTGGTCCCCTGGTAGTCGAAATTCGACTATAACTAATGGATATTATAAGTTTGTACACTATTATGATTCTTTTTTTTTATTGCTTAGATGAGTGGACGAGCTCACAGCCCACCTGGTGTCAAGTGGTTACTGGAGCCCATGGACATCTACAACGTAAATGCGCCATCCACCTTGAGATATAAGTTCTAAGGTCTCAGTATAGTTACGACGGCTGCCCCACCCTTCAAACCGAAACGCATTACTGCTTTACGGCAGAAATAGGCAGGGTGGTGGTACCTACCCGTGCGGACTCACAAGAGGTCCTACCACCAGTAATAAAAAAACTTCAGAGGTGTCAAGGGACACCCGGATGGAACGAAGTTCCTTTCGATTAATTAGTGAAGGAATTGTAATTTTTTATTTAAGTTATAATAATAAATTACGGCATTATGAAGAAGAAAAAAACAATACTATGAACTAAATTACTATTGTTGAAACGCTATCTCGAGAAACTGTACTCATTACGCGGACCAATCGGATACGAGCAATGTCACGCGATAAGCGCCTCCTACACGTTGATTGGTCAGAATGACGGATCTAAGAAGTGTCGTGACAACTTTTCGTAAGAATTTTTTCCGTCTAGCCCCCTTTCACAACGCGCGATAAGGAACTTCGTTCCAATACGAAATAAAATTCAAGTATCAATAATAGCCTAACCCGCATACGTATGTGTGGCCGTCGACTGACTTCCTCAAGTCGGATGTGTGTGTGGACAGGCCGGGGGACGACTCGGCCGACACCACGACGGATGGTGCGGCCGACGAGGGCGGGGCGGAGACGAAGACCATCAACGACATACTGCAGGAGAAGGAGGATGCGGAAAACGTACGTACTTTTTTTTAATAGTGTTTCCTTCGGTTTTCGCTCGTCGTATATATTATCGAAACTTCTTTTACGACTTGTTTTTGCCTTTGCTATTGTCATTATGTTGTTGCCATTACGTTGTTGTCATTATGTCGTTGTCATTATGCTATTATCATTATGTCGTTGTCATTATGTTGTTGTCATTATGTCGTTGTCATTATGTCGTTGTCATTATGTCGTTGTTATTATGTCGTTGTCATTATGTCGTTGTTATTATGTCGTTGTCATTATGTCTTTGTCATTATGTTGTTGTCATTATGTCGTTGTTATTATGTCGTTGTCATTATGTCTTTGTCATTATGTTGTTGTCATTATGTCGTTGTCAATATGCTATTGTCATTATGTTTATTATTAATATTTATAAAATATTTTTCTCAACATCTGACGATAAGAAATGTTTAAATTTCCCACTTGATTGATAAGTACCTCAAATATCACTGCAAACATGATGTCGGTGTTTTAATGTCGTAACTCATTGTTACACTTTTACACTTATTTCTAATAAAACGTACGGCAGGGGAATGTGTTGCAAAATAATGCTGTTTTTGTTCTAAGAAATATATAAGTTTTCTTTTATTTTTTTCTCTTATTATTTGTTTCTCTGTTATACATATTTAAATGTTAATCATGAAAAAGAAATGAAATTCAGGAATTAAACTATACTACACTTTCTGTCATCGTTTTGGTTCACTTTAGCTATTGTATTTAATAATTAATTAGTTAAATTTTTCGTGTTTATTTTTGAATTTACTGAATTCCTGATTTGTCACCGTTGAAACTGAGACGGTCGCTATGCATAAAGAACTTGTAGATTCTTGTTATAAATTATGCAATAATATGGCAACATTTAATAATAAGGGAAATTTTATTTTGTGCATCTGTTAAACAAAAATGTTCTTTTGCTAAAAAAAATTGTATTCTGGCAACATAGGGCTTCGAGATTGGCACGTGGAGTAACGAGATGGCGTCCTCGATACCGGAGGACACTGACTTCGACGAATACCTAGAGCCTCTACCTCCGAATCTTACCTTCTGCACTTCCGCTTCCGGTGAGTAACTGTTGCAGTTGGCGCCTTTCTAGCTATGTACACACATTCATACATACATACACACATAACTAAATATTTAACTAAACTAGAGGTCCCGCAGTAGTCGAAATTCGACTATAATTAATTTGAATTGTAAATTTGTACACTATTATGATTGTATTTTATACTTCTATATTCACAAATTTCGCCAAGACTACACTATAAAAAATATTAATAAAGACAAATTATATTTAATCTATTCTCAATTTGACCACGGACGTCAAGAACAAAAGTTTGACAATTAATAAATAGTATGCATGCGTATTTGACAACAGACGTCAAGAACAAAAGTTTGACAATAAATAGTATGCATGCGTGTGTGCGTCAAATACATGGTATGTAGTGTGTGTAACGTTTTCTTTATTGATTTAATGTATGTTTTATGCATTATTTTAAAAAAAATATTAGCATTGTGCACTTCTTCTCTATATTCTCTATAAGTGTAGAAAATTTCATACTAATTCGTATTAAGATATAGATTCCGGAGTTTGTCTGTAGGCAGCGCGAGCTGGTGCGACCCGATCCAGAAGCCCAAGAGCGAGTTCAACCCGACGCGGAGCTACTCGGTGGCGGACAGCGACTGCTCCTACATGTCCAGGTACCTACCTCCCACCTGTCGCCACCGCCCCAGTACAACGCGTCGTGAGGCGACAGGCTCAGCGAAGCACCGCTCTTGCTAGGGCCGGTATTAGCACATTGTCTCAGGTTGAGATCACTAACTTGAAACCCCTTCAAGTTTTTATTTTATTTTCTTTTATTGCTTAGATGGGTGAACGAGCTCACAGCCCACCTGGTGTTAAGTGGTTACTGGAGCCCATAGACATCTACAACGTAAATGCGCCACCCACATTAGGATATAAGCTCTAAGGTCTCAAGTATAGTTACGACGGCTGCCTCACCCTTTGAACCGTAACGCATTACTGCTTCACGGCAGAAATAGGCAAGGTGTTGGTACCTACCCGTGCGGACTCACAAGAAGTTGTACCACCAGTATAAGATATAGATACCACCAAGTCATTCAATCCCGTTTTTTCAGGATAGCCGTAGGATCACCGTGGTTCCTAAAGAACGTGAATCTCTATGATGACCTGGAGCTTGACTTGTTCATAAGTATTTACAGTCGGCATCATTTCGCCACTTTGAGAAGGCGGACCGAATGGTGAAAAGTCGACGTCGCCCTAAACAGGTCATTACGGATCCTCCTGATCCATTAACGGTGCTTTTAGGTACCGCGAACACCGATCACCGTCACCAAAATTAACTCTCAGACACAGCCCACTGAGTTTCTCGCCGGATCTTCTCAGTGGGTCGCGTTTCCGATCCGGTGGTAGATTCTGCGAAGCACGGCTCTTGCTAGGGTTCGTGTTAGCAACGTCGTCAGGTTTGAGCCCCGTGAGCTCACCTACAGATTAGGGCGAAGCTGATATAGCCTCTTAGGGCTATCAGCATAGGTAGGAGAAAAAAAAACAGGTTAAGTCCCTTAAATTAGCAACGAATAAGTAGGGAAAATCTACACGTCGAAACTTCAATTGTATCTTATAATCAACTAGCGACCCGCCCTCGCTTCGCTTCGGAAACTGTAATTTATTATTGATTTCTCCACTATTTAATGGATGTTATTATACATACTAGAGGTCCCGCAGTAGTCGAAATTCGACTATAATTAATTGGAATTGTAAGTTTGTACACTTATTATGATTGTATTTTATACTTCTATAATCACAAATTTCGCAAAGACTACACTATAAAAAATATTAACAAAGACAAACAATATTTAATCTATTCTCAATTTGACAACAGACGTGAAGATCAAAAGTTTGATATAAACAAATAGTATGCATGCGTATGTGCGTCAAATACATGGTATGTAGTGTGTGTAATGTTTTCTTTATTGATATAATGTATCTTTTATGCGTTATTTAAAAAAAATATTGGCATTGTGCACTTCTTCTCTATATTCTCTATAAGTGTGGAAAATTTCATACTCCTCCGTCCGCGCAATTTTCGTAAAAAGGGATACAAAGTTTTTGCTTCACGTATTAATATATTATACATATAAACCTTCCTCTTCAATCACTCTATCTATTAAAAAAAACCGCATCAAAATCCGTTGCGTAGTTTTAAAGATTTAAGCATACTTACATAGGGACAGATATAGAGACAGAGATAGCGACTTTGTTTTATACTATGTAGTGATACATCGGAGGCGACGATCATTGTTGACGCCCTTCGTAAACCTTTCAGCGACTTCGACACCGACGACTCGGACCTGGACAGCGAGTGCAGCGACGAGGACACCGACAACAGCGGCTTCTGCAGCAGCAAGCACTCCAACGGTGATTATGTCTTGCGTGTTGCTGCGGACCGGAGTCCCCACTGACCCCCCAAATATCTAATCGGTGCTTTTAGATACCCCAAGCACCGGTCATCGTTCTCGTCGAACTCGCCGCTTGCGACGAAGGGCTCGACGGGTAAACTAACCCACAGACACAGCCCACTGAGTTTTTCACCGGATCTTCTCAATGGGTCGCGTTTACGATCCGGTGGTAGATTCTAAGAAGCGCTGTTCTTGCTAGGGTTCTAGGGTTTGTGTTAGTAATATCGTCAGGTTTGAGCCCCGTGAGCTCACCTACTAGTTAGGGTTACGCTGATATGGTCTCTCTAGACCATCAGCTTAGGAAAAGAAAAAAAACAGTAGACAAAGACTAAGGTAACGGTGACAACAGATAGTCCTGCCTATTTCTGCCGTGAAGCAGTAATGCGTTTCGGTTTGAAGGGTGGGGCAGCCGTCGTCAAGGTGGGTGGCGCATTTACGTTGTAGATGTCTATGGACTCCGGTAACCACTTAACACCAGGTGGGCTGTGAGCTCATGCATGCATGCAAAAAAAAAGATGATGTTCTAATAGTTCCTGAACATCACCACAACATGTCTGATCCTCGATATGATTCTTGTAAACGTTCCCTATGTCGGTCTACTGTCCGTCAGATGGCGCTAGGGACTTTTAAAGAGAGACAGGGATAGTTGCATAACGGTTTTTCGTTACGTAACGACTTCGACCTCGTGCCGCGTTCTTCCGTACGACGTAACGAGTCGTGTTGCAGCGGCCATGGGAGTCCGCATAGAGTACAGGACGGCGCACGAGGCGGAGGCCGTGGACGTCGGCGGCAACGACAAGGTCAACCCGGCGCCCGCAGCGGACCCCCGGCTGGAGGGGCAGGACCTCGAGCTGCAGAGGCGCATCATCAGGGATGGGCTCGCGCCGCAAGAGGTTATAGTATTTAATGCAACTTACTATCAGTACGTTCTGATCGACTTGATGAGCGGCGCCGTAGTTCATGGACATCAGTCATTTGATACGTCACAATTCGCGTGCGCATTGAAATCGCTTCAAGTGTCTTATTAAAAAAAATGATGTGGAGAGTCCTTAACGGTAGGCAGCGGCTTGGCTCTGCCCCTGGCATTGTTGAAGTCCATGGGCGACGGTAACTACTCACCATCAGGTGGGCCGTACGCTCGTCTGCCTACTAGGGCAATAAAAAACACGTGTGGCACTCGGGGACTGCCGCGGTAAAGCTATTGCCTATAATTTTTTGTCAACTTATGCTATTATAATTAGACAATAATAATTTAATATTAAAATAATAATAATAAAATAAGACCACGCTATATTTATAAATATTAACCTAAGCAAAACATTTACTGTCCCCTTCACACTCATAAGCTAGACCGCGCTAGAGAGAGATGGGCAGACTTTTCATGATGCGCATGCAGTGTGACGTCACGCCGCGCGCTTATTCACAAACATTACACAAGCGCAACGTGTGAATATGTTGAACGCGAGCTACATGGTAGGCGGAGTGAGGGTGTTATGTTTTATTTTCGTTACGGAATTTCTTGATTCGGTCGCCGCGCTCAAAGCTCGCGATAAAACCTATGCAATAGCTTAAAAATTAAATGTATGAACTTTAAGAATGATCTCCAGCGCTCGCATTACATACGTCCAATTGAGTTACGCCATCTAAAATGTCTTATTTTGTTCTCGTCGACAGCACATTGAGAGGTTTCGTTCCTCCGTGGCCGCACACAAGGAGCACATCACGAGGAACTGCTTGATACAACGTGACGAGCCCGTCGGGGAAGTATTGCCGCCGTTGATCACGCAAAAAACGACCTTAAACACACCGAACGTAGAGGCGAAAGTCCTGGAGATGTTCCCGTACGGCACACGAGAGCTGCGGCACGCGGACGACGGACGTCTCACGCTGCAGAGCGTCGAGCGAAACAAACGCTTCATACTGAATCATTTGAAAACGAACCTTAAGCCTGAAGAGATAAAGTCTTTATTCTGTTTCTCGATGAAGGACATAGACATTGACGCTCCCGATTACGTGGACGAGAAAATAACGAATATAGGCTTCGACGACGGAGACAAATACAATATGAGCAACGAATTTAAACCTTATTACGAAGATGATAAGGGCGGTCAGAAGAGGGAGTTCGACTTTGATTTTCAACCGGTTCTAGAAGGACATCCGGGTCCGAGTCCCAGCGTGATACTGCAGGTTAGTACTGTTTCAATTCGATAATGTACGGCAATTCGAGTGTCTAAGATTGATGGTCTTCTCCAAAGAACATATAGTTCACCAGTCCACCTGGTTTTAAGTGGTTACTGGAGCCCATAGACATCTATAACGTAAATGCTGCCACCCACCTCGAGATATGAATTCTAAGATTAGTTAAACGGCTGCCCCACCCTTCAAACCGAAACGCGTTACTGCTACTGGTGGTACCTAGCCGTGCGGACTCTCAAGACATCCTACCACCATCGTGTTGGCTCAGCGTGGGCATCGATCCAGAAAACAATGTATTTTAATAACAATTACCATAATTTACTAGTGGTAGGGGCGTTTTGTGAGTCGACACGGATATGTACAATGATCCTGCCTATTTCTGCCTTACAGCAGTAATGCATTACGGCTTGAAGACTGGAGCAGTCGTTGTACTGTACAGAGACCATAGAACTCATTTTTCGAGTTGGTGGCGGCATTGACGTGGTTGATGTCCATGGACTCCACCGGGGGGTCGTGAGCTCGTCCATTGACCCGACAGTGTGCGTGCGTTCGGTTGCAGGCGCTGACGATGTCGAACGCCAACGACGGCATCAACCTCGAGAGGCTGGAGACCGTCGGGGACAGCTTCCTGAAGTTCGCGATCACCGCGTACCTGTACTGCGCGCACCCCAACGTGCATGAGGGGAAGCTCAGCCACATGCGGAGCAAGCAGGTGCCACAGATTAACCATAGCCGCATTCATTACGCTACACACTAGTGTAGTGTTTTTTTATATTATGACCTGGTAACGGGACCTTTAAGCCAAATCTTTTTGAAGTGAAACTTCTTTAGGCGCACGAGGGTAAAATTTTTACAGAACGTCACGCAAGTATGCAACGGAAGTGACATCAAACTACTATTGAAATTAAGTACTTGTCAAATGTCAGTAGTAGTAGTTGTTGTATTTTTCCAACTGGAAAGGCAAATGTATGGTACCATACAGCCTAATATTTTATAACTTTTTGTGAAAAATGTTAATAGGAATTGAAATGAAAAGAATTTGGAACATTAATCAAATAGCATAAAATTAAATTAGTCAATTCAATTGGCAAAATATTAGTCATTTATGTGTAAAGAAGCAAAATTTAAACTTAATTTATTTATTTTTTATTTCTAATAATTATTATTATATTATAATACTTTGTATTAATTTTATGTATATTTACAGAGATATGTATGTGTATATGTATGTGTACATATATGTATATGTATTTCACTGGAATGGTACACCGCGCGTAGTTCGTTTCCAAATGATTCTTGTCCACCTGATGGTTGTCTGGAAGAGATCGCTTTTAGCGATAAGACCGCCAATTGTACTTTTTGTTTTTAATGTATCGCACTGTTCATTTGTTTTTTTTGGTGTACAATAAAGAATACTCTCTCTCTCTCTCTCTCTCATTTACAATTTAGAAATAAATCTAAACATAATGTGACTGTCAACACTGAGGTTTGAGATTGACATTTGACAGACTTTTGGCGGGAACATATCTTCCTTTTTCCCTTCCTCTAAGTCTCGGAAATCTAAAGTTTTAGATTTGTATAAATATAAGAAAGACTTATAAATTAGTTCGCCAAAAAAGTTTCACTTCTGACATGTGTACTTTGTACGCACGCACTTTTTTTCTGCTTATTAGTGGTCCCGTGGTCGAAATTCGACTATAATTAATTGAAATTATAAGTTTGAACTATTATACTTCTATAATCACAGATTTCGCCAAGACTACACTATAGACAAATAAGGGTGGTTATTTGGTCACACCAGCAAATTGTATATATGTACATACATAATTGTTGTTTGTTCGCGTGCAGGTGTCGAACCTGAACCTGTACCGTCTCGGGCGCAACAAGCAGCTCGGCAGCAGGATGATCGCCTCCAAGTTCGAGCCGCACGACAACTGGCTGCCCCCCTGCCACGAGCCGCCCCCCACCCTCCACCCCAAGCTCAACGTGAGGCCATCTATGCTCCATTTCTTATTGCTTAGCTGGGTAGACGAGCTCACGGCCCACTGGAGCCCACAGACATCTACAACGTTTATAGAGACTGTAATAGTAGAGTAGACTAGACTACAGTGCACTAGAGTAGGGTACGGTAAGGTATACTAGGATATACTAGAATAGAGTAGATTAGGGTAAAGTAGAGTACGGTAAGATAGAGTAGGGTATACAAGAGTAGACTATATTAGGGTAGAGTAGGGTACGGCAAGGTATACTAGGATATACTAGAATAGAGTAGACTAGATTAGGGTAAAGTAGAATACGGTAAGATAGAGTAGACTATACTAAAAAAAATTTATTGCTTAGATGGGTGGACGAGCTCACAGCCCACCTGGCGTTAAGTGGTTACTGGAGCCCATAGACATCTACAACGTAAATGTGTCACCCACCTTGAGATGTAAGTTCTAAGGTCTCAAGTATAGCAACGGCTGCCCCACCCTTCAAACCGAAACACATTACTGCTTCACGGCAGAAATAGGCAGGGTGGTAGTACCTACCCGTGCGGACTCACAAGACGTCCTACCAGCAGTATCACTAAGACTTGTCGCTGCTCGCCTACCCGGCTATTTAGACAACGATAATCTAACGCGCCTTATTGTTCTTCAGCTGAACGGTCAAGATAAGAAACAGAACGTGGATTCGTCTCCGGAGAACGTTGGATGCTTCATCCCTTATAACCTGATAACGCAGCACAGCATCCCGGGTGAGTGTTCCGTCTCTCACACCGTGAGGGTGCAAACAATTGTAACATCTAACATTTTTGTATAATGTTTTGAATCACGAGATAAATCAGTTTTGTATTTCTATGAACATTTAAAACGTATTGTTTTTTTTTGAAAAGAATATTCGAATTTTTTTAAAGGATTTTATAACTAGCTTCGCTCCGCGGCGTCACCCGCGATAAGACAGTGACCGCGAGTAACATCGCGGGACTCAACTGTTCAATAATAAAATTTAATGTTTCCGAATCGAAACGAGGGCGGGTCGCTAGTAATACATATCGACGCTTGAAAGGCAAACGTGACTAAGCGACAATAACTGCCTTTTACATAAATGATAGGCAATAACCATATTCGATGTGCAAAAAAAAATTATTTTCTAGGTCTATTAAAATCATTTCAATCCTACAGCTAGATTCGTTAAAATATAATTTTTTTCAGGTATTTCAACTTTAAATTAGTCTAGTGTAAAGTTCACGCATTGTCGCTTAGTCACGTTTGCCTTTCAAGCGTCGATATGTATCTATATGCTTGCATGCTACGCCTCCCCGCGTATAAGTACGTACAGCTCGTACGTACGCTCGTTTATATACCCGACCCGGTAGACCGAATGGTAAACCGTCGACGTCGCCCAAAGCATGTCATTACGGATCCTCCTGATCCATTAACAGTGCCTTTAGGGACCACAAGCACCGGTCATCGTCCTCGTCGAACTATTCGCTTGCGATGAAGGGCTCGACGAGCGAATTAACCCATAGACACAGCCCACTGAGTTTCTCGCCGGATCTTCTCAGTGGGTCGCGTTTCCGATCCGGTGGTAGATTCCGCGAAGCACTGCTCTTGCTAGGGTTAGTGTTAGCAACTCTCCGGTTTGAGTACCGTGAGCTCACCTACAAACGTTAGGGTGAAGCTGAAATAGCCTCTCAAGGCATAGGTAGGAAAAAAAAGAAAAAAAGTACGCTTGTACTGAGGCCGCGTCTGTGCCGCAGACAAGTCGATAGCGGACTGCGTGGAGGCGCTGATCGGCGCCTACCTGCTGGAGTGCGGGCCGCGGGGCGCGCTGCTGTTCATGTCGTGGCTCGGCATCGCCGTGCTGCCGCGACACCTCGCCGCGCTCCCTCACACGCACTCGACCTCGGTAAACGATATATACAGACTGTAATAGTAGACTAGACTAGACTAGAGTAGGGTACGGTAAGGTATACTAGGATATACTAGAGTAGAGTAGACTAGATTAGGATAGACTAGGATATACCAGAGTAAAGTCGACTAGATTAGGGTAAAGTAGAGTACGGTAAGATAGAGTAGGGTGGGTATACAAGAGTAAATTATATTAAGGTAGAGTAGGGTATACAAAAATAGACTTGGGTACAATAGAGTAGAGGTACGTTAAGGTAGAGTAGGGTAGAGTAATCTATGCTTTTATTGTACACAAAAAAAGGAAATGCATACATTGACCACAAATAGTACAATAAGCGGTATTATGGCCAAAGAACGGTCGCTTCCAGAATTTAACATATCGACACGGATCAGGAAGAGATCAGTCGCGTCGGGCTAATCCAGTAAGAGAACTGTTTCGTAAAAAGGGGGTACAAAGTTTTTGCTTCACGTATTAATATATAGATAAATGTGGGGTATTAAGTGATATATCTCTTAAACCAAACAGCCTTTCTCACCTCTCGATATATTGTGGCTAATTGGTGTACGTCATCATCAATACCAGATTCTCGTCTCATTGGCCTGAAATGAGGTCATAATGTGATGAAATTGTGCCGGAACAATCGAGAATACGTGCTGTTAATTTAAAATGTCAAAGAAAATATTGATCAGATCTTTTTATTTTTTATTGCTTAGGTGGATGGACGAGCTCATAGCCTACTTGGTGTTAAGTGGTTAATGGAGCCCATAGACATCTACAACGTAAAATGCGCCACCCACCTTGAGATACTTACTGGTTACTTCTTACTGGTGGTAGGACCTCTTGTGAGTCCGCACGGGTAGGTACCAGCGCCCCGCCCATTTCTGCCGTGAAGCAGTAATGCGTTTCGGTTTGAAGGGTGGGGCAGCCGTTGTGACTATACTGAGACCTTAGAACTATATCTCAAGGTGTGTGGCGCATTTACGTTATAGATGTCTATGGGCTCCAGTAACCACTTAACACCAGGTGGGCTGTGAGCTCGTCCACACATCTCAGCAATAAAAAAAAATATATATATATAAGTTCTAAGGTCTCAAGTATAGTTACAACGGCTGCCCCAACCTTCAAACCGAAACGCATTACTACCCGTGCGGACTCACAAGAGGTTCTACCACCAGTAAAGTGTATTATCTCGTAGGAGCAGCGGGAAACGTCGGCGGAGCCGCCCCCCGCGCGCCGCAGGGTCGGCTCGCTGCCCCCCTACAGGGACCGCCAGGGGAACTGGGTCCAGGTACGCACTACCAGATCTACATAATAAAATGTACACGAGGCAACCCTATCGCCAACTAGATAGGGTTGCCTCGTGTACATTTTAATATACTCTTATTAGCTTCATACGTATTTAGCTTTAGCTTGATACGGAATCTTTGAACACGATTTTTAGCCTCTTCAAATTCTTTTTCCATTTTTGGAACGAAGTTCCTTATGCGGGACGATGCGGAGGGGTACCCTTACCGGGAAAAAACGTCCGTCACGTAAGATTTTTATTAGTAATGCACACAGTGTACGACTTAACTTTGTAATAACGTACAAAAATTAACATATTTTTTTATCATTCATTGACCACGATCTCAGAGTGCGCAATACATTAACTCTTATGCAAGCAACCATGAATGAAGCGTACCACAATAAGTTCGCACGTTACCGAATGACCGTGGGTTGTTGCGAAACCTCCAGTTTTATTTTCTTTATACCTCGAATAGAACTTGAAATTAATATTTTTATAATAAAGAACTTCGTTCCTATCCGGTGTCCCACGACACCACACATCTGTTTTTAGTTGGATTTTCTATAAAAGCATGTTTTTTTTTGTATTTTATTTAAACTATTATTTATTAATAAACTCCTTGTATAATGACGCCAGGGCCTAATATTTGCATTTTTAGCGTAACCTTCTTTTGACACAGTAAATAGAATCGAAGTTTCAATTGTATAACGCATATAGAAAAACTTGGAGCAAGACAATAAAAAATAAAGTTTGTTTGTTTGTTTTTCACCTACGCGTGCCTCAACCGGTTGAGATGGAACGTGGTAGCGCCAACCCCTCCCCCCCCCCGCGATGGGTGCGACCCCTACAATTAGCGATAACTTCACCCAGCTTGACTAGCCGTGCGTTTCTCCGAACAGCAAGTGTACGGCGAACTGAAAGCTCCGCCGTCGCCGCTGCTCCGCTACGTGGAGGACCCTGAGGGTGAGCTGGAGAAGATGCTGTCCGGTAAGGAATTGGAACAGAGCGCCTACAGCGACTCGCCGTCCGCAGACTAGGGACAGTAGCTAGCGCCAGTACTGGTCGCGCTTACTCGCACCAGCGTTTGTACTATTGTTCGAAGCTAAACGATTTGTATCGTGATATGTCATTATGGCCTAAAGGATAAGTCGCCCAGTGCACGCGTGTCGATCGATATGCCCAGGTTCGAATCCCGCAGGCAGATACCAATTGTGCTAATGAAATACGTACTTAACAAATGCTCACGAATGACTTCCACGGTGAGGGAATCATATCGTGTAATAAAAATAATTCTCGCAAAACTTGTAATCTACCTAATTACAGTATAATTGAGAGAAAGACCTCAAGTCTCAAGGTGGGCGGTGGCGTCTACGTTGTGAGGTCTATAGGTTCCGGTACGCCAAATAACACACTAGTGTTCATTAATGATGAAGTGACATGATTGACTCGCTGGTGCAGTAGTTAGCGGGACTGTTGCGCCGAGTGTCGTGGGTTCGATACCCGCATCGGGCAAACATTCAGGTTTGAGCCTCGTGAGCTCACCTACTAATTCGGCGAATCTAGAATAACCCCTTGAGGTTATTAGAATAGGTAGAAAAGGGGCCACTTGTAATTTCATGCTTTAATCCCTACTAGTGGCCCCGCAGTAGTCGAAATTCGACTATAATTAATTGAAATTATAAATATGAACATTATTATGGTTCTATTGTCAAAGACTAATATACTTCTATAATCACAGATTTCGTCTAGACCATAGACAAATAATATTAAAGACAAACAATATTAATCTATTTTCAATTCGACCATAGACTTTAAACAATAACAAAAGTTTCCCAATTGACAGTAAATAAAGAGTATATTTTTATGTATGTGTTGTGTCAAATACATGGTAACGTCTGTAATGTTTTCTTTATTGATTTAAAGTATCTTTTATGCATAATTAAAAAAAGAATTAGTATTCTGCACTCCTTCTCTATATTCTCTATAAGTGTGGAAAATTTTAGACTCTTCCGTCCGCGCAATTTTCGTAAAAAACGGTACAAAGTTTTTGCTTCACGTATTAATATATAGATTACTAGCGACCTGCCCTCGCGTCGCTTTGGAAACTGTAATTTATTATTGATTTCTCCACTATTTAATGGATGTTATTATACATATCGACACTTGAAAGGCAAACGTGACTAAGCGACAATGCGTCAACTTATGCGTCTACAGTAGACTAATTTAAAGTTGAAATACTTGAAAAAAATTATATTTTAACGAATCTAGCTGTAGGATTGAAATGATTTTAATAGAACTAGAAATATATATTTTTTGCGCATTGAATATGGTTATTACCTGTCATTTATGTACAAAGCAGTTATTGTCGCTTAGTCACGTTTGTCTTTCAAGAGTCGATATAAACCTTCCTCTTCAATCACTATCTATTAAAAAAAAACGTGTGGCACTCGGGAACTGCCGCGGTAAAGCTATTGCATAGCATTTTTTATCAACTTATGCAATTATAATTAGAAAATGATAATTTAATATTAAAACAATAATAAAACAAGACCACGCTATTTTAAACATTAATAAAAGCAAAACCTTAACTGTCCCCTTCACACTCATAAGCTAGACCGCGCGAGAGAGAGATGGGCAGACTTTTCATGATGCGCATGCAGTATGACGTCACGCCACGCGCTTATTTACAAACATTACACAAGCGCAACGTGTGAATGTGTTGAACATGAGCTACATGGTAGGCGGAGAGGTGTTTTCGGTCGCCGCGCTCAAGGCCCGCGATAAAATCTATGCAATAGTTTAAAAACCGCATCAAAATCCGTTGCGTAGTTACACAGGGACAGAGAGAGCGACTTTGTTGTATACAATGTAGTGATGTGTGTGTGTGTGCGCGCGGCAGGCTACGAGCAGCTGGAGCGCGTGCTGCAGTACAGGTTCCGGGACCGCTCGCTGCTGCTGCAGGCGATGACGCACGCGTCGCACCACAGGAACGTGCTCACCGACTGCTACCAGCGGCTCGAGTTCCTCGGCGACGCCATACTCGGTGCGCCACTATAATAACATTAACGATTTCATTCTCGTCGAATTATTTTGACGTGGAGCCGGAGCTGCATGCGCGAAGAAAACATGACTCGTGCGGCGTTACCTCGCTCTGAGGCGTTCCACGATCACGTGGCTAAACTGGCAATAAATTTCGCCAATTATTTGACAACAACAAAGACGCGATCATGGAACGCCGTAGTCAATTCGAGTCTAATTTGAACATTGAAAACGTCATGAGAGAAATTCAATAGTGATTTCCATTTACCTCCTTCTCTATATGCATACAAAGTATCTATCAAACAAATAAAATTAAAATTTTCTTTTGAAAAATGAAACCACTCCATCAGTATTTTCTTATGACGTTGTTACGTTCAACTATCGTCAGTAAACCGACTTTACAGACAAACGATTTTATTTTTCTTTATTGCTTACATGGGTTGACGAGCTCACAGCCCACCTGGTGTCAACCAACCTGGGTTGGTGCTTCCCGCTTCCGTAGGCTTAACCCGCGATACCCTACAAGTGACCCCTGGGTGGTGCTAAACGGGAGCCGAAAACATAACCGGTGGTAGGACTTAGTCCGACTGGCTGGCGACCACCCTCCAACTAGAGTCCGCCGCCAAATAGCCTAGCTGTGTTCCGGCGTGTGGGTTAGAGAGCCAGTTCTATCTCTTCCCTTTCCCCTTCCTTGTTGGGGGTGAGTCTTGGTTACGCCTGGAACTTGCGGAGCAGACGTGTGTGCGAACTCGCGGGGCGTGATTGTCTGACGGGGGTATAGGGAGACCCAGTGAAACGGTATCCGCTGCCGCCCGCCGGTCAGTAGGGGACCTGAACCCGGGTGTCTCTACTAAACTCCGCCCCGGGAAGCTGTCCCGCCAACCGGTGTAAAATTCTGTCGTGCGGTCGTCGTGCCGGAGTCGGAGACCGGAGTGGATCCCGGCGATCGCACGCAGAGTGGACTGGGGGCCCTTCCATGCCCTGCGTCAGTCTCTCACGCAACCCGTGGTCGAGCACGTACTATGTTCCGCGCTTCATTCAGGTGTTGCCTCGATCTCACCTCTAACATCCTACCTCTCCTAATCCTACTCTCCGGAAATATAACAACTTAATTAATGAAGTCGAAAAAAAAGAAAAGGGTTTTACAGGCGGCTCCCCATTCCACATTTAATGTGGATTTCAGCAATGTCAGGGGCCTACATAGCAACCTTGACGCCGTACACCACCACCTTGAGACGGCGCAGCCTGCCCTGCTTTTTTTAACGGAGACGCAGATATCTGCTCCGGATGATACCTCATACCTTGAATACCCCGGCTACGTATTGGAGCACAACTTCCTGCGTAAAGCCGGGGTGTGCGTATTCGTCCGGGCTGATGTCTGTTGTCGCCGTCTTCGGGGCCTCGAACAACGGGACCTGTCCCTCTTGTGGCTGCGCGTAGATCACGGGGGCCGTAGCCGAATCTACGCGTGCCTGTACAGGTCCCACAGCAGTGATGCAGGTTCAGCTCTGTTTGAGCATGTGCAAGAGGGGACTAACCGCGTGCTTGAGCAGTACCCATCTGCGGAGGTGGTGGTTCTTGGAGACTTTAACGCTCACCACCAAGAGTGGTTGGGGTCCAGAACCACTGACCTCCCGGGTCGGACTGCCTACGATTTCGCCTTGGCCTACGGCTTCTCCCAGCTGGTGACACAGCCCACCCGTGTCCCAGATATCGAGGGGCACGAGCCTTCTTTGTTGGACCTTCTGCTGACCACAGATCCGGCCGGATACAGTGTGGTGGTCGACGCTCCGCTTGGATCGTCTGATCACTGCCTTATTCGTGCTGCCGTACCACTCTCTCGTCCTGATCGTCGAACGACGACCGGGTATCGAAGAGTTTGGCGGTATATGTCAGCAGATTGGGATGGATTGCGTGAATTTTACGCATCCTACCCATGGGGGCGGTTCTGCTTTTCCTCTGCTGATCCTGACGTCTGTGCGGACCGTCTTAAAGACGTGGTGCTCCAGGGGATGGAATTGTTTATTCCCTCCTCTGAAGTGCCCGTTGGGGGTCGCAGCAGACCCTGGTATAACAATGCCAGCAGGGATGCTGCACACCTCAAGCGGTCCGCATACGTGGCATGGGATAATGCCAGGAGACGTCGGGATCCTAACATCTCAGGGGAAAGGCGGAAATATAACGCCGCTTCCAGGTCCTACAAGAAGGTAATTGCCAAGGCGAAGTCGGAGCACGTCGCTAGAGTTGGCGAGCGATTGAAGAGCTATCCCTCCGGGAGCCGTGCTTTTTGGTCGCTCGCCAAAGCTGCAGAAGGAAACTTCTGCAGGTCTAGTCTCCCACCACTGCGCAAGTCCGATGACAATCTGGCCCACAGCGCGAAAGAGAAGGCTGACCTTCTGGTCAAACTCTTCGCCTCGAACTCGACTGTGGACGACGGGGGTGCCACACCACCGAACATCCCCCGGTGTGATAGCTCCCTGCCGGAAATCTGCTTCACACAGTGTGCAGTCAGGCGGGAGCTCAGACTCCTGGACGTCCATAAGTCGAGTGGGCCAGACGGCATCCCCGCAGTGGTTTTGAAAACGTGCGCCCCTGAGCTGACACCTGCGCTAACGCGTTTGTATCGCCTCTCTTATTGCACTAACAGGGTTCCGTCTTCATGGAAGACCGCCCACGTCCACCCTATCCCCAAGAAGGGTGACCGGTCGGACCCATCGAGCTACAGGCCTATCGCGATAACTTCCTTGCTTTCCAAGGTGATGGAGCGAATTATAAATACACAACTCCTGAAGTATCTTGAAGATCGCCAGCTGATCAGTGACCGACAGTACGGTTTCCGTCACGGTCGCTCAGCTGGCGATCTTCTTGTATACCTTACTCACAGGTGGGCTGAAGCCTTGGAGAGCAAGGGCGAGGCTCTTGCTGTGAGCCTTGATATCGCGAAGGCCTTCGACAGGGTCTGGCATAGGGCACTTCTATCGAAGTTACCATCTTACGGAATCCCCGAGGGTCTCTGCAAGTGGATCGCTAGCTTTTTGGATGGGCGGAGCATCACGGTCGTTGTAGACGGTGACTGTTCTGATACCATGACCATTAACGCTGGCGTTCCACAAGGTTCGGTGCTCTCCCCCACGCTTTTCATCCTGTATATCAATGACATGCTGTCTATTGATGGCATGCATTGCTATGCGGATGACAGCACGGGGGATGCGCGATATATCGGCCATCAGAGTCTCTCTCGGAGCGTGGTGCAAGAGAGACGATCAAAACTTGTGTCTGAAGTGGAGAACTCTCTGGGGCGAGTCTCCAAATGGGGTGAATTGAACTTGGTTCAATTCAACCCGTTAAAGACACAAGTTTGCGCGTTCACTGCGAAGAAGGACCCCTTTGTCATGGCGCCGCAATTCCAAGGAGTATCCCTGCAACCTTCCGAGAGTATTGGGATACTTGGGGTCGACATTTCGAGCGATGTCCAGTTTCGGAGTCATTTGGAAGGCAAAGCCAAGTTGGCGTCCAAAATGCTGGGAGTCCTCAACAGAGCGAAGCGGTACTTCACGCCTGGACAAAGGCTTTTGCTTTATAAAGCACAAGTCCGGCCTCGCGTGGAGTACTGCTCCCATCTCTGGGCCGGGGCTCCCAAATACCAGCTTCTTCCATTTGACTCCATACAGAGGAGGGCCGTTCGGATTGTCGATAATCCCATTCTCACGGATCGTTTGGAGCCTCTGGGTCTGCGGAGGGACTTCGGTTCCCTCTGTATTTTGTACCGTATGTTCCATGGGGAGTGCTCTGAGGAATTGTTCGAGATGATACCGGCATCTCGTTTTTACCATCGCACCGCCCGCCACCGGAGTAGAGTTCATCCATACTACCTGGAGCCACTGCGGTCATCCACAGTGCGTTTCCAGAGGTCTTTTTTGCCACGTACCATCCGGCTATGGAATGAGCTCCCCTCCACGGTGTTTCCCGAGCGCTATGACATGTCCTTCTTCAAACGAGGCTTGTGGAGAGTATTAAGCGGTAGGCAGCAGCTTGGCTCTGCCCCTGGCATTGCTGAAGTCCATGGGCGACGGTAACCACTCACCATCAGGTGGGCCGTATGCCCGTCTGCCTACAAAGGCAATAAAAAAAAAAAAAAAAAAAAACGTGGTTACTGGAGCCCATAGACATCCACAACGGAAATGCGCCACCCACCTTAAGATATAAGTTCTAAGGTCTCAAGTATAGCTACAACGGCTGCCCCAGCATAAAAAATATGGCGATTGTCCAAAAAAATGGCATAATAGTGTATTAACATAACAGAAGTTAATTTTTTAATGGTGGTAGGACCTCTTCTGAGTCCGCGCGAATGGGTACCATTGTCCTGCCTATTTCTGCCGTGAAGCAGCAATACGTTTCGGTTTGAAGAGTGGGGCAGCCGTTGTAACTATACTGAGACCTTAGAACTCATATCTCAAGATGGGTGGCGGCATGTACGTTGTAAACGTCTATGGGTTCCGGTAACCACGTTCCGAAATTCCATAGACTACTATATTGGGCTCACGCAAAGGCGTACTGCCGAGACAGCCTCACGTGACGTGTGACGTTTCAGATTACCTGATCACGCGTCACCTGTACGAAGACAAGCGCTGCCACTCGCCGGGAGCCCTCACCGACCTCCGCTCGGCGCTGGTCAACAACACCATCTTCGCGACCCTGGCGGCCAGACACGGCTTTCACAAGTGAGCTTTCTTTTATTGATCAGCCTTCTTTTTTCTGAAGTGAAACTTCTAATGCGACTTCCAACAAGGTTGCGTTAAACATGTATCGCTACCATAGAATAGAAAGAGACAGAGCGAGAGCGAATGCGTGGCACTCGAACGCATGCGCGTAGTGTACCTGCTACAGACCAGCGCGAGCGTTAGCAACCAGCAGCGATTTAAATTATATAGAATACTAGTGGACCGGTCCGGCTCCGCTCGGGTCTTTAACAAAAATTCAACGATATTTGACGTTGTTTTATTTTTTTAAATAAAAGAACACTTATAGCGGCATAACTACAATAGTTAGACATATGCTGTCGCGACACTTTTTGTAGATATGTAATAATAATGTGTTCTACAAAGTCTTAGTACATTATTTTATTGTATCATCATGGTTTTCGCAGGGCAAGCGATGTAAAGAATATGTTAAAAAAAATTTTTACACCTTGGTTTACATTATTTGAGTTTTAGTAAGGATCCCTATTTTTTTTCAAAAAAGGTTATGGCTTATGTCACTCGGGAATAGTGTAGCTTCCAAACAGTGAAAGAATTTTTCAAATCGGTTCAGTAGTTTCGGAGTCTTCAATATAAACAAACCAACAAATCTTCCCTCTTTATAATATTAGTATCGAAGTATAGATAAATGTTGAATATGTCGCATGTTTTATACACAACACAGCATTCCCTATTACAAGAGCAATCTGATTTAAAGATGAAAAATGAAAAAAACCACAATACTACACACCGCAAAAGAAGTTACACTTCATTCACGTGCATCAAGTTATCCCAAGACCTTATCCCACTAGGTGGGGTCGGCACAGCAAATTTTTCTCTTCCATTCTCTTTTATCAGCCGTCATCTCAACACTCACGTCTCTCTCTCTCTCTCTCTCTCATATCATCATTCACACTCCATCCGGTTGACCTTTTCCCCCTCTACCTTGCACTACCATTTAATATAGTAGCAAATCATAATAAATCGTACTGCCATAGTTTTATGGTGCAATTTTGTTTGAATATAATCAACATCTTTTAGCCTTTCTTTGTTTGTATTTTGTTATTGTTTATATTCTGTCAAGTATGAAGGAAAATCAGACCGCTATTTACATTTCACAGATTTAATATCACTATAATAACTAATTTTGTCTGCAATTTTCACTATTCATTCACTTTAAGATAGAGTTAAATATATAAAGGAATGATAAATATCTTTGTATCCAAAAGATATTTATCTCTTTTCTTCTTGGTGAGTGATTTTGCCCATGACTAATGCGCCACTCCCGGAACCACTGTCCCATGGTGGCTGCTGCCATCCGGAGACGCCGATGCATTAACGACTTCTTCCTATACGCGTAGTAGATAGGCGTGTCATCGGCGAAGAGCGCTAGATGGGGCTTCGGAGACTGGAGTATACCTTTGATCAATTTATACAAAATATCCATACCTGATCCTGTGGATCGAATGGGAAAATCGACGTCGCCCTAAACACGTCATTTCAGATCCTTCCGATCCACTAACGGTGCTTCTAGGTACCTCAAGCACCGGTCACCGTCCTCGCCGAATCCGTCGCTTGCAACGAAGGACTCTACGAGTAAATTAACCCACAGACACAGCCCACTGAGTTTCTCGCCGGATCTTCTCAGTGGGTCTCATTTCCGATCCGGTGGTAGATACTGCGAAACACTCCCGGCTTGAGCCCCGTGAGCTCACCTACTCTCAAGGCTAACAACAGCTTAGGTAGAAAAAAAAACCATGTCCCATATATACGTTTTGGGAACACATCGATAGTGCAATATTTTTTTTTATGATTAACGCCATCTACTGGTGACTTTCAAATAAATTCACAAATAGTAATATACGTATCTGAAAGTAGCTGGTAGCACGCTTAAAGAGTGCCCTCCAGTCGTGCGTCCGAACTGACACTACATTTCGTTTTTGTATATATTCACAGATATTTCAGACACATGTCGCCCGGCTTGAACGAGGTGCTGAAGAAATACGTGAAGATACAAGAGGAGAACGGACACTCTATAAGCGAAGAGGTAACCGACTCCTCATAAGTTCAATGGTTGCGAACAGATAAGTCCAGGGTCCACACCCCACCCAGCAACACCGGCTGACTGGAGCCAGACGCTCTCGGCTCGGCGGCAGACCTGAGCAGTATGCTGGCATCTCATCATGCAAACCAAAGTCGCCGGTTTGATGTATGGAACGAAACTTAATTTGCAGGGGGATTGCGTAAATCGTTACCTAACAAACAAATATGACCTTTAACTGCTGCTCATAAAAACTAAATTCCAATGCACTGTTTACCTTAACTGATCCACACATAAATATACAAAAAACAGTTGAGTAACTTGATGCATAAAACGAATCTAAACCTTTAGGTGTCGACGATTATGGTCGAATTTCGATCGTTAAGTGGAATCGAATCTCAATTTTATAACAGTGATGTTAAAGATTTATTTAGAAAAAAATTTAATTCGATTCCACACTTCGAACATTAGGCCCCTTCTATACGGGGCCTCTCAGTCAGTGCCGTCGGTACTTATTTATATTATGACGGAGTGAGCGGTGACGTCAGAGACTATGTTACATATACATTGTTATTACAAACGATGACGTCACTTTGTTAGTTGTTGTCATTGCCTTCCATAGTGACAGTAAATAAGACTCACTTTTCCAATGAATTTCGTTTATTACATTTCAAGTGTACAAGAGCTCCGTCTCGTTCGGCTGCTCGAGCCGGAATGCTTCGTGCGACAATAGTCACTCGTATTTATGGTAGAAAGCGAAGCGGTAGCTTAGTCATGAATTGTTATGAACACCGTCCTAAACAATTGTTTACACGCGTTGGACTTAATTCAAGAGACTATGTCAATATCATGGAGACAGTTAACTTTAACTGATCTTAGTTAAGTAAATAGTAATGTCGCGCCGGCATATACGATATGCTTGGTCGCCAGCACTATCTGATCCACGAAGACGAGATGGAGCAGGCGGAGGACGTGGAGGTGCCCAAGGCGCTCGGAGACCTCTTCGAGTCGGTCGCCGGCGCCATATTCCTGGACTCGGGTATTTTGTTCTAATTCATTTATACCTTTATCTAAACATCGTGTTATTTTTTACACGCTTTTTTATTAGCTTCACTTGTATGTTTGTTTGTAACCGACTCCTTTAGACGCGATTTTCACCCACTTTAAACGGCCAGATTTCATTCAAACTTTGTAGATTTATCGAGGACCGATGACAATTCAATATTTAAAAAAAAATTGCAAAAAAAGTATTGAAAAAATTGAAATTCAACTAAAAAATGAAAAATAAATAATAGTTAAAAAAAACTAAAAAACACGCTTTATATAAAGTTTTTACAATAAAATATTATTTTTTACACTATTTTCAATTTAAATTTATTAAAATTTATTTTCAATTTTTTACTTGAATTTTATATAAAGCGTGTTTTTTAGTTTTTTTTAACTATTTTTCTTTATTGCTTACATGGGTTACACAGCCCACCTGGTGTCAAGTGGTTACTGAAGCCCATAGACATGTACAACGTAAGCGCCGTCACCCACCTTGAGATATAAGCTCTAAGGTCTGAGTATAGTACAACGGGTGCCCTATCCTTCAAACCGAAACGCATTACTGCTTTACGGCAGAAATAGGCAGGGCGGTGGTACCTACCCGCGCGAACTCCCAAGATGTCCTACCACCAGTAATTACGCAAATTATAATTTTGCGGGTTTGATTTTTATTACACCATTTTATTCCTTCACCGTGGAAGTCAATCGTGAACATTTGTTATGTACGCATTTCATTGGAAAAATTGGTACCCGCCGACGGGATTCGAACACCGGTGCATCGCTACACACGAATGCACCGGACGTGTTATCCTTTAGGCCGCCTTTAGACTTAATGAATCCGTCACATAAGAGTGTCACGTGTGTCCGTCGGCAGGCATGTCGCTGGGCGCCGTGTGGAAGTCGTACGGGCGGCTGATGGGCCGCGAGCTGGAGGCCTTCAGCGCGGCCGCGCCCAAGTCGCCCGTCCGCGAGCTGCTCGAGGCCGAACCCGACACCGCCAAGTTCGGGTGAGTCTCCCCCCCAACTCCCCCCCGCCTCCAAGCTATAGTGCTGTGCGTCCAGAGCAGGTCGGTAGGCAGCGGCTTGGCTCTGCCCCTGGCATTGCTGAAGTCCATGGGCGACGGTAACCACTCACCATCAGGTGGGCTGTATGCTCGTCTGCCTACAAGGGCTATAAAAAACTTAACACCAGGTGGACCGTGAGCTCGTCCACCCATCTAAGCAATAAAAAACGTGTGGCACTCGGGAACTGCCGCGGTAAAGCTATTGCATAGCATTTTTTATCAACTTATGCAATTATAATTAGACAATGGTAATTTAATATTAAAACAATAATAAAACAAGACCACGCTATATTAAACATTAATAAAAGCAATACCTTAACTGTCCCCTTCACACTCATAAGTTAGACCGCGCGAGAGAGAGATGGGCCGAATTTTCATGATGCGCATGCAGTGTGACGTCACGCCACGCGCTTATTCACAAACACTACACAAGCGCAACGTGTGAATGTGTTGAACGCGAGCTACATGTTAGGCGTAGTGAGGGGTGGAAGGTTTTTTTCGTTACGGAATTTCATGATTCCGCTCTCAAGCCGCGCTCAAGGCCCGCGATAAAATCTATGCAATAGCTTAAAAATAGAGTCGTAAGTAATGTCCGGTGGTCGATGACGTAACTGGCGAGGGTGTGGGTGTGGCGCAGCAAGCCGGAGCGGCTGGCGGACGGGCGGCGCGTGCGCGTGTGCGTGGAGGTGTTCGGGCGCGGCACGTTCCGCGGCGTCGGACGCAACTACCGGATCGCCAAGGGGACCGCCGCGCGCTGCGCCCTGCGACACCTGCGCCGGGGACGGTGCTCCGCGCGCCCCCCTCCACACACGCACTCGCCCTACCATGACGTACAGTGATCCTCAAACTTTACACATCCAATCTATATCTATATATAAATGAATTGCTGTTCGTTAATCTCGCCAAAACTCGAGAACGGCTGGACTTGAATTATTTGTGAAAGTCCAGAGAAGGTTTAAAATGTAGATAAATATGAAAATGCTCGGAATGAAATAAATATAACAATTTTGTTTTTCCTTTGATGTGTCCCCCGTCGGACGGATTACTATTGTTTGTTTTAAATTTATTTTATAAAAAAAATTTAGGTCTTTTATTTATCGATTGAGGCACTACGAAGTCTGCCGGGTCAGCTAGTACTATCATACATCGACGCAGTATATTTAGAGATAGTGAACAAGTTTTAAGACTTATCTTTTTTTTGTGTCGTATTTCGAAGACGTTCATGGCGTGCCGCGACAAAAAAGAAGATTGAGAATCACTGGCTTACATATATATATATCGACGCTTGAAAGGCAAACATGACTAAGCGACAATAACTGCTTTGTACATAAATGATAGCCAATAACCATATTCGATGTGCAAAAAAATATATTTCTAGGTCTATTAAAATCATTTCAATCCTACAGCTACTAGCTAGATTCTACTACGGCTAGATTCGTTAAAATAAATTTTGTTTTCAGGTATTTCAACTTTAAATTAGTCTACTGTAAAGTTCACGCATTTTTGCTTAGTCACGTTTGCCTTTCAAGCGTCGATATATTAGAGGTCACACAGACTATTTAGATATGAATTCGGATGACCGACGATTTTGATCCTGTCTCGACATTAGGCTAGGAGCAATGAAACAATTACATTTAAGAGACATCAAATTGAGAATCGCAGAAAAGCACTGCTAAGTTATTCATTATACCAGAGTGTTCACATACAGAATTTGATTTAAAGAAAAAATAGTTAAATACAGCACATTTCTACTCAAACATTGTTTTATTTTTTATTAAATCCCAATCGCCCCGTTTGGTAATTTCAATACTGTACAGGTAACCCTCCTATAACGCGGTAGGCGACTTTTTGGCGGGAACGCGAGGAGTTAAGTTGTGTGGTTTGTTTTATTTTGTCTATTTAGTGTTTCTTCAGGTTTAAATGTGTAATAACAGTGGATTATTAACTGTTTAATATCTGTGAAAGTGCACAAATGTGGAAAAATGAAACAAAGCCGCTGGACGTGACTTCTCGGGATCCTCCAAAAAGCCCACTGAAAAAAAAAGGGTGCGTGTACTTATGTACGCGCGTAAGAAGTTATACTTTATTTTTATTAAATTTATTTCTTTTTTTTTGAAGTGAAAACTTCTTTAGAATCGTTGTGATTTCAAACCGGATGCAACGGAAAAAACGACAGGTAAGAGACACAAATACAAAAATGTGTAGGATGAAGCCAGCAAAGAATGAGACAGAAATATACATACTATTTAATACAGCGCCATCTGTGAGATTTTTTAATACTAACGTGTGTATGAAAGCTCTTGTNTTTATTTTTTTTTTTTTGAAGTGAAAACTTCTTTAGAATCGTTGTGATTTCAAACCGGATGCAACGGAAAAAACGACAGGTAAGAGACACAAATACAAAAATGTGTAGGATGAAGCCAGCAAAGAATGAGACAGAAATATACATACTATTTAATACAGCGCCATCTGTGAGATTTTTTAATACTAACGTGTGTATGAAAGCTCTTGTGAATTTTAATTTAGGATTATACGTGAAATTAAAATATCAATTCACAGAGGGCGCTACCTTACAATTATTTACTAATGACAAAATTTTACATATACTTAAGACTTTTAGGATAATTGTATTTTAATTTTCGAAGGTTTCACTTCTGCCACGTGTGAATTGCACACATGTATTTTTTTTTCCTTGTGTAGTTGACCACTGCTGTTATTCACTTTAATTTGAGGGTAGGTGCTCTCGGTCTGCACTGAGATGTCTTTAAATGTTTTTTCAGAAGACAAGTTAAAATCTGTCTACACTTCTTTGTTATTTGTAGATGTTAAAATATTGGTTTGAGTTGTTTTACGTTTATGGTTACTTCTGAGTGTTTTAATTTTGGAAGGATTCACTTCTACCACGTGTGAATTGCACACATTTTGTTATTTTAAATATTAAATAATTAATAATAAATATTTAACGTTAATAATTTAATAATATTTAGTGTGAATTATATTAATTAATAATTTTGTCATTTATATTACTAAAAATTAATGCTAATAACACTTTTTTTACGAGTGTACATGCGCGAAAGTTCACCTGCGGCTATATTCAGACTCGCCAAGTTACGTCGGTCGTATTGTAATGAGCGATTTAGTGGGCAACTTCATTCTGTTAATTTTGTGTCACGGTGGGCGCGCATCGTAAAATTTCACTCTCATCAATTTTTCATAACGCGCCTAAAGAAGTAAAACTTAAAAAATCTCAGTAAATGACCACCATTTTACTGAGATTATATTTCATCCCATATCATTTCATTTCATTTCGTTTTCATTTATTGCCGTGTTTCATATCAACTTCATTTCTTATCATTTTTCATATTAAAAAAGTTTTCATTAAAATTAAAATAAGACTTGACCTAAATGTCTTAGTTACCAGGTCATGAAATCCCTTTAAAAAAAATATTGCGCGGTAGATACGTTCCTACAAAGTCCCGTGTTGTATGAAACCGTGTTAGAAGAAATCAAAAGCCAGTACAAACAGGAGAGTAATTTTTTTTGATGAAACATCTCAACTTTGCCTTGATGTATTTTCTTAGCTATTATACATATCGGCGCAATGTCAGTATTTAGTTAACTAAGATTAGTCAAAGTTCGAGTACTATAAATACGAGTGATTATTGTCGCACAATACATTCGGACATACACAAATTAGTTATAGATAAGTAACTCAAGAACTCAACAAAAATGTTTACGAGCGTCGGCCACTAGATGGCTTCGCTTCGATTAGTTTCTCATTGCCCCTGTAGATGGACGTAACAAATTACGTATCCTATATTTTATTTCTAAAGGATTTTGTAAATTTGTAAAACTACTAATTGATAAAATTTAATCAATTTATTTATAACAAATAAAGACTTATATTATTTATTTATTTTCTGTGTTTAATTACACAATTATTAATTGCTTAAACTTTAACACAAGGTTGGGGAAAAAGTCTTTTCGCATTATAGTATGTATGAACTTGTAATAAGATTTCTTTGGCTATACTATTTTTATCTGGTTGGTTTTGGTATCATTGAAAGTTTAAATTTTAAAGAAGATAATTCCAAATTCAAATTATGAACATGGGTGATTTTTATTTACTTTTCGTACTGTCAAGATGAGTGAAACTAATAAAGAAATTCGATACATTTTCAAATTTTACTACAAAACAGGTAAAAATGCAACGCAAGCCGCGAAAAAAATTTGCAATGTTTATGGACCGGAACTATACACGCGAGCAAAAGTTTGGAATCACTTACTTGAAATTGGTTCCACGCGATCTTAGTTACTAAATATTTTTTTAATTATCACAAAAATTACATCATTTTAAAGGTTCAGCTATCAACTTTAAATTGATACTAAATTCATCATCAAATCGAGCCGGTAGTTAAGGAGCTATCCCGGATTAAGTGAAAGAGGTAGGAAAACAAGGAAATATGGAAAAATAATGAATGAACAAAACAACAAAAATTAATAAGTAAAAAAAAATATTTAGCCTTAAAATTAAGTATCAGTACTTTGTGTTCCCTTCCCTCGCCCTAATAACTGCTCGAAGACGATTCTTCATAGACATGATCAGCTTCTGAATTGAGTCTTGTGGGATACCTTCCCACTCGTAAATCAACGCTGATTTCAGTTCATTCAGACATGAAGGAGCAGGAGTTCTGGAACGAACCTTCCTCTTCGGTTCATCCCACACGTGCTCAATGGGATTCAAGTCAGGGCTGAGCGCTGGCCAGTCCAATGTGGCGATACCGACTTCTTCGAGGTATACAATTGTTACACGGGCAGTGTGACAACGAGCGTTATCGTGCATAAGGAGGAAGTGATCACCGATATATCCAGCATAGGTAAGGACATGTTCCAGCAGAATATTGGAAATGTACCAGTCCGAAGTTAGACCGCCTCCTCGTCCCCTGCCAGGCACGAAAACAAGCTCGGTTTTACCATCGAAGGAAATGCCGGCCCACATCATACAATGGCGTCTCCATAAGCGACTGTTTCAGCGAAACAGCACTGCTAATCGCTCCCCAGGCTGCCTGTCACCCGACCTCTTCGGTCACTACCGTGCAAACACATCCTGCTCTCGTCGCGTCGACGCTGATATAGCCTCTCAAGGCTATCAGCGTAGGCAGGAAAAAAAAACGTCACGCCTTAGTAAGCGTCATCTTGTTTCGTTTAAGCTTACGCGCGATCACTGCAATTTTAACAAAAAAAAAATACATGTGTGCAATTCACACGTGGTAGAAGTGAAACCTTCCAAAATTAAAATACAATTATCCTAAACGTCTTAAGTATATGTAAAATTTTATCATTAGTAAATAATTGTAAGGTAGCGCCCTCTGTGAATTGATATTTTAATTTCACGTATAATCCTAAATTAAAATTCACTACAAGAGCTTTCATACATACGTTAGTATTAAAAAATCTCACAGATGGCGCTGTATTAAATAGTATGTATATTTCTGTCTCATTCTTTGCTGGCTTCATCCTACACATTTTTGTATTTGTGTCTCTCACCTGTCGTTTTTTCCGTTGCATCCGGTTTGAAATCACAACGATTCTAAAGAAATTTTCACTTCAAAAACTATTTTTTTCGCTTTACCCGTCGCTAAAATACATTTTATAATCCTAGTTTACCATTTCCACAACAGAAGTTCCACAAAAGCCATCAGCAAGCTCTCTAAATGGGTTATTTAATCTAAATTTCTTTAGACACATGAGTATCTTGTTAGCAGGAATATTATTGTTTTTCTATTAAATCAATTAGGTAAGTAATAACAGCTTTTGGGAACTCCAATGTACGATCGCGAGCTCTTTGTAATTTTAAGCAAGGTACATTCCAGAATTTTAGATGCCTCCTGTTTTCTATCGTATTGTATCATCTCACTGTAGTCTAATATAGATTTAATTTGGAGAGATATTGTTGATGG